TTAGTCTGAGCAAATTGAATCATGCAACTCAATTTAAATTTAAAGAAAAAAAAAGTTAGTATTTGCATGCAGTACTGTTTCATTTACTTTTCTTTGGGAATAAGTGCCATCAAACAATTGAGGTACAGAAAAGTTGGAAGACTTAACATGAATAAGGTTTTGGTTACAGGTTTTTGTTTTATCCCCTAAAGCATATAAAATTCTAAATACTAAATTTATTTACTGTGTAAATTAATAAAGTTCAATTTGTATGGGGGGAGGGAAAAAAAAGAAAAAGTCACTAAAATAAATAAACCAAAGTATTTGGAACCCATTCATTATAAATGTAAAAGTAGTTAACCATGTATATGTTACAAGGCCATTTAATTTCCAGTGATATTTGGGTATACAAGATAAAGAGACAAAAAAAAAAAAAAAAAACAGGAAAAAGAAGAAAAAAATAAAATGTTATGAAATGTACATCACTTGCTTGAATCTACAATATGCAATTTTATATATGCTTTTCTAAAAACAGACCGATTCTACTGTGATAAGTTTCTTCACTACTCATGAATCAATTTCATTAATAATTCTTTCAAGATGGATAAAATCATTTTTGCTATCCAGTTATATATCCCAACACTACCACATAAATCTTGAAGGCCAGAGAGTACATATGTCAAATTTTATGATAACAGTGATTTCAAAAGTAGATAGGTTTGCCTGAGCTTCTGAATAGGACTAGAAGTTTATCCCTTGTTTCCTGTTTATGATTGGGTTACCAATTTCTAAAGTCTACTTCAACTTTATATTTCTAATGTCCCCACCTGAACTCTGATATTTTATTTGATAATTATTATTTTTTGTTTTCTTAATAGGAGTAAATAGGTTTGCCTATTGTTTGGTTTACACTCCTCCCTGGTCATTTGAACAAGAGTAGAGATTTATCTCTTGTTCCCTGTTTAGAATGGCTTTTCTGATATCTTCTAAAGTATTTTCCTTCTCTTTCACTCTAAGTAGCCTCTTGCATCTTAGTGGCATTATCACCTTGCTTGTGGTGAATTGATTAAAAAAAATAAATAAATAAAAATAATTTTGGCAGTATAACTAAACGACTCATCCTAGCAGAAATACAGGGTCTCCACAAAGTATTTTGAAATTTTAAAATATTTGTTTCCACAAAATAAATCAACAAAATGGAAATAAATTTTAAATATTTCTGAGAAAAAAAAAAAAAAATGAAGTAACTCATGATACCATTTTCAACACTGCAAATTTTTTAACAACAATTTCTACAAACTACAAGTATTTGAATTTCTATGCAGATGTTTTTTTTTTTTTTTTTTTTTTAAGTTGAACTATTTGTTAACGATTACTTTGTTTTCATTTTAGCTATGAAAATAAAGTTGGCAGATATAGATATTGAAAAGTCTTAATGACATATTCCTTAAATAGAGTAATTGTGTCTTGCTTTGCTGTCATGACTTCTTATACCTTAATGGTGAAGGATGCTTGGCTTGAAAGTAATTTTCCAGATTAAAAAGGTATAGTTTAGATTCCTGTTGTGAAGCACATTTTCTTTAGTAAGACTTTCAATCTCTAAACCGGTATATATTAATTTCACTGTTAAAAAAACATGGATACTTACTGAACCATGTATACCCAATAAATATGTTTATTATTAAGTAAAAAAAAAAAAAAAATGTTAACACTAATATTTGTAGTACATAATCTTTCCTACCAAATCTTTTTTTAAATTATACTTGACTATTTAATTGGATAACAATAACAGCAATAATCACTGATACCTACTAATTTAATTAAGTCTTGTTTGTTTAGTGGCCTATCAACTCATTATGGGTCATTTAATGCTGAAATTTAATTTTCTTGGAATCTTTAGTAACTTAATTTACAAAAAATTGTATTGCTGGTAATTTTTTTTTTAACTATGAAAATGTATTGCTTGTATTTTTATACTTTCATAGTGTCTTGACCCCAGTTTGAGGGTTAACTATTTGCCCATAGCTGGGGCCCTAACAGGTGCTACCATCCTGGGTCAGGGTGGACCTGGAAACAACACCAATTAAGAGGTGATTCAACACTCTTCAAAACCTCATGAGCAGAGACCTTGCTGCCAGATGTAGTTAATTAAGTCTTGTAATTACTCAATATTTTCTCTGTGCTTGTATGATAGATCATTCATACTTCAGTTACCTGGCAGTTGGTTTTATACTAGGATAAATTATAGTAAATTAAATATTAGATAATTAGATAAGAATGACATATTTAGTAAAACAAATGATGTGGAGAGAGAGAGAGAGAGAGAAGGGAAGAGAGAGAGGAAGGAAAAAGAGAATGAAGGAAGAGAGAGAGAGAGAGAGAAAGTAAGTAATGTGGCACTTATCCTCAAAGGTTAGAATTAATCTCACTTACCACGATTGAAGTTGCCTGAATTTTATGAGGTTAAAAGAGAAATTGTAATTTAGAAATTTCTTTTTTCTTTAGAAATAAAAACTGATTTGAAAACAAAAATATTTATTAATAATATAAGTAATAAGTTAAAAAATAGTAATTTCATGGCAGTTGTGAAATTTCAAAAATAAACAAAAACAAAACATAAAATAGTTTGATTAATGGCATTCATGCTATGAATCTCAGGCCAAATTACTACAAGGATTTAAAACTCAGTACTTCAATACTAAATGTTTTATAATTTAGTGAACGTTTTTTGATTTAAAAGACATAACCATTTTGGTTAAATAAAACAAAAATTACCTAACAACATTAAGAGAATCTATCTTCTACATATAAAATTCTGTGACTTCCATTAATCCATCCATCCATTCATCACACCCTCTAAAATAGCCATGCATTGACCAATTGAAACTAAATTTTGGGGAGAAGTGCAAACAGGAAAATGGGTACAAAGTACAATTGGTTTTACTAGGATGCATAGCTTAGTACAATAAATTTTCATTAATTTTTTGGGAAAAATTAAGTTTTATTATTTAGCATACAAAATATTTCTACTGATTTAAAAACCCTTCAATGATTAAAATAATAAATACTTATTTAATAAAATTGCAATATTGTTTTTTGCATATCTTTTAAGTTTTTATATACAAAATCCAGTTTCCAGTTTGCCCTGTGTTTATGAGAAATATAAACAAATGACAAGGCCAAATGCCTCAAAAAGTTGGAATTTGGCTTCAGAAAGAAATATTTACACATGGCCAGTTGTATGTTGCATGCTCAAGAGTAAGAAATCCTAAGAATTTAAAATAGCCATATATTGACTGATCAAAACCAAATTTTGGGGAGAAGAGCAAACAAGTTAAGGGGTACAAATTACAGTTGGTTTTACAATACTAAATACTCTGAGGAGTTCACTACACATTAGCATGTTGCAAAAAAAAAAAAAAATTCTAGTTTTTTAAAAATCCATAGATATAATTTAGATTTTTTGTTATAAGTGTATGGTCAGAAAACAATGTTTATCTGATAACAAATTTCTATTGGAGATTATTCTAACAGAAATAAATAAAAAAAACTGTTTTAATGCTTATTTTTTTCTTGTCTTTAAAAGGAGAACTGGATAGATTTATCAAAGATAACATCAATATGAGGGATTTAAAAAAAAAATCAAATACTAATTTAGGAAGTTAATTAAAGTTTTTAATAATGTACCAAAACAGATGAAACTTGGTCTTAACACTATATGCAGAAATATGATTATCTCCCATCTGACCTGCCTAACCTTGGAATGGACTGGTCAGATGTTGAATTAATTATAAAAAGTAAGTAAAGAAGAAGTAAACTGAAAAGAGATTTAAAAAGTACAGGTACTAGAAAATTTTAAGTCAATATCACAAGCATCACGGATTTATTTCATCTCCTCTTGGCCTTGGAAGACAATTTAACTTGGGCATAAGCTTAACAATGTAACCCTATGAAAAATTAACTTGAAACTGAAACCACTACAGCATTACTTTGTATGGTTGTCACCCAATGCTCCATAAGGAGTCTGTGAAAATAAACAAATATAGTTTAACATCTGGCTACTTTTTTTATTTTTTTAAAATATAGATCTTGTAACTTTGTATAGTCCTAATAAAAATTTATAATTGTTTTTATAAGCAATCACATTAACCAGACAATCTTCTTCCAATTTTCTAAGATATATAGTTTGCTATGGCACTAACGTATGTTTACCTTTTTATTGAATAAATAAAATATAAAACCCAATTTATCAATGATTGAATATTTTAAGGTATTCATTCTAATATTCTAAGACTGATTTGTTTTATGGCTTATCAACCCTTTCTGGGTTATATAAAGCCTAAACAAATTTTGAATTGTTTAAAAATAATTCTTTTTAGTGAATGAATATTGTATTAAAAATTTGGAGGATAAATATAAATTATATAACAATAATTTTTTAAGATACATCTTGCATAATGATAAATTGTAATAAATTTTTTCCTTAAAATAGTTTGCAGGACTTTTTCAAGTATAAACTGTACAGAAATAGATTGTAAACTTATATTCTATTATAAAAGCCAATCTCCTTTAAGAACTGCAAAATCTCACTTGGTTTGGTATTTTCAAACAGTTCCTTTAGATTATCTGTTCTATAGTATTTGTTGGTATTTGCTACACATTATCAATACATGCTCAATTGTGTATGGTTCCTGATGGTAAGCACAATGCCAGTTCTTTGTATTTGAGTAGGTATTGGTCAGCTATGCGTGTGTCCTATCCAGAGTCTGGCTAGGACCATCTCTTATCTTTCTCAATATTATAAGAGAAGAGGAATGTGAGTGTGTACTATTGTATTTTCATTCTTTCTGAAAAAGTGTATGCAAACATGTCATATAAATAAAAATTTAACACTCAAAAGTGAAAATAAATTTTGACACTATAGATCTGTTATTAAAGTTCATTAATAAATCCACTACTCAAGCCATGCTCTACTTGAATTAAAAAAAGTAAAGAATAAAATGATTTTTTGTTGTTCTTACCTGTGCATATATAGTCTTTTTGTATGTGCAAGCGATTTTCTTTCATCAAATTTCCAAGAAGGAATCCTGAAAAAAGAAAAAAATACACTAAAGTAAAAAAGAACAAATCAGAAAATACTAGAATCATGAAAAATAATTTTGAGAAGTCAGTCTATATACCTGAGATGAGGTACTCAAATTATTTACATTGTTCAGACTGTCGTCCTCATCTTTATTGTCATGTTTCATGATTTTTCAGCCATTGCATGCTCTGGCCTTTTTTAGGTGATTGGAATTTCAAACTGAAACCTTTATTTCATTCACCAGGTTAGATTGTTCTTGTTCCACGTGCCATGCCTCTTCAGGATGTCTCCGTTATCTCCGTTTAACTCAACTCTCCTAGTTTTTGTTCACCACTGCCATAGCCAGGTATCAAACTCACAACTCTTTGGACCAAGTCACTGGATCCAACCAATCCTTGTATCCATTGGGCCATGTGTCCTTGAGAATAAGGTAAACAACATTGCTTATAAGAAATCTATGGATGTAGGGGATGTGAGCTCATCCCTGACCAACCTTTGTTAACTTCACTTCTCCCAGTAGGTCCTTTTGTCCTCCCAACTAAGTGACCATGTCTCAATTTTAGTGGAGCACTCAGATATAATATTTCTGACAATTGTTTCCTTGATTCCTCAACAACAAACTCTACCTTTGGTGGCCCTTAGGCTTTGTATTGGGTGAAAGGTAGTATATATTAAAAAATGTTAGCTTACCCGAGAACATGGCTGCATTGGCCCGTATTTCTGCCCATATACTGTTATAGAAGGACATACAAGACATCAGATACTGGTTAATCTTTTCAGGCATCTCTTTGATCTAAGGATAAAAATAGAAAATAATTTACTTGAGCAGATAGCAAACAATGTGGGCAGTGGAAGAGAATAGAGACTTTCAGCAAATAAAGTGGGCAGTGGGTTGGTTCTCTGTGTTATGCCACTCTCTGTAACCTTTTGCATGCTAATGGCATTCCTTTCCTTGCTTGAAGTGAAATGCTTAAAAAAAAAAAAGTAGAGAATGTGGGCACTCAACAAACAATGTACACAGAATGGGAGAATGGAGGCAGTCAGCAAACATGAGAGAGAGAGAGAGAGAGAGAATGTAGATAGTCAGAAACCACAAAGGAAAGAGAGAGAGAATGCAGATGGTCAGCAACCACAAGAGAGAGAGAGAATGTAGGCAGTTATCAACCACAAAAGATAGAGAGAGAGAGAGAGAGAGAGAGAGAGAGAGAATGCAGCAGGTGGTCAGCAACCACAAGAGAGAGAGAGAGAGAGAGGAAGTGAGAATGCAGGTAGTCAGCAACCACAAAAGAGAGAGAGAGTGCAGGTTTTCATCAACCACAAAAGAGAGAGAGAGAATGGAGGGTTTCAACAACCACAAAAGAGAGAGAAAGTATGAATGCAGGTGGTCAGCAACCATGAGAGAGAGAGAGAGAGAGAGAATGCAGGTGGTCAGCAACCACAAGAGAAAGAGAGAGAGAGAGAGAGAGAATATAGGCTTTCAGAAACCACAAAAGAGAGAGAGAAAGTGAGAATGCAGGCATCAGTAACCACAAGAGAGAGTGTGATAGAGAATCCAGGTGGTCAGTAAACACAAAAGAGAAAGAGAATGCAGTTGGTCAGCAAATAATGTGGTGATAAGGAGAAAATTTAGCTGATTGATTTTAACCTTCCTCCAGCTTTTCAATATTATTAAAAATATGGAGATTTAAGATTTTTGTGGAAAGCTGTTAGTCTCTTGGTAAATTTTCAACTCCTGGGCCTTGTATCAACATTTTGAAAGACTGTTCTGCAATAAAGTAACCCAGAAAATTGCTCTCTAAATGCCTCTAATATAGCCAATAGCCTGGGCAAGACAAAGCTAGATGGAAAAAACTTTGTAACAAATTCCAGATCTGTCTTTTTTTTTTCTAAATTTAAAATTCCCAATGACTCAATTGAGCACAGATGTAGTTGCATCAATGCAAACAAACTGAGTTTGATGAAGTCTGAAGGGACGAAACCGGTCACATGAAAATTATTTCCAATTTGTCATACATCTTACCTCCACATTATATAAGAAGTGCGGACATTGATGTCACCACCATGTGGCAGTAGATGTTTCATACTTGACTACAATATTCAGGCTATGTTGACTTGGGTTGTAGCTAAACTATTTATATGTTAGCTATGAGATATTATGGATAGCAAGATGAGTTCTTTCCAGCTTATTGTGCTATTGTAATGGCTATTAATAGGTGAAAATTGTCCTTTTAAATTATTCTGGTAGCTATTAAAACTTAAATAAAGCTAATTATGGACCAGAAAGTATTTTTTTGTTATTGTATAACTTTTAAATCACTTTTATTTATTATTAATAACTTTAATGTATTTTTTAGTTATTCATTATTGACTATTGATAATTAAATTTATCTAGTACTAGTTATGTGTGTATTTGTACAGTTTATTCTTTAATTTATTATTTATTTTGTTTCTGCTTAGCCATTAGAATAACAAAATAAACTAGAAATAAATGACCATGCTATCCATAATGCCCCAGTGAATAACATATATAAAATAATTGAGCTATAATCCCACCTATATGGTCCGAAGATTCCATTCAAGCATATCACCATATGATGTTGACATTAGTGTCCACACTTATATTTATACACCCTTTATCCTGGATACTTTTACCCTATAAATACAGCATACCTTAAAACTATATATATATATATATATATATATATATATATATATATATATATATATATGTGTGTGTGTGTGTGTGTGTGAGTGAGTGAGAAGCCAGTGTAATTATTTTCCTCACATTAAACTTAAATTCCTATATAAAGGGGTGCTGAAAAGTTCTCAGCTCAAAAAGCAAAAAAAAAAAAACTGCTTTAAAAAAGATCTGATTTTTGGTTTAATTTTGACAAGTGGATTAGGCTGAGAATTTTTCAGCACCTCAAATCAGATTCTTTTTCCAAAAAATAAAAAAGTAGACAATTATTATAAAGTATCAAATATATAGATATTATAGATAGGAGACTTATCACAGAATTCTGGAGCAGTTCATTTTGGAGTTTGGAATGAGTTGTACTGAGCAGTTATCTTAACCCATTAATGCCATCTAAACCATTTTTAGGACCATGGACTTCGATGGGTTATAGGTAGGAACTTATAATTAATACTAGATTATTTTTAGAATCCTATAATTAATGCTGGATTTTTATTTGATTTTTTATAATTATACCAGATTTTACTGTGATTATTAATAGGTTAAAAAGTTAAAGAAAGGAGATGCCATTTTAAAAATATACAGTCTGGCAAACAAGTTGATCGAATTCAAACCAAATTTATGACGGTCATCCACTGTGTAATATTTTATAGCATACCAGAAACTCTCCCCCATTTCAGCAGAGAATAAAGAAATAATTGTAGAATGGTACAGTTAATGTTACTGAGGTTTTGCCCTTGTTCCTTATTTGGCCCAATTCAAAATGAGTGTTTTCATACACTCTTTACAATTACAAAGTTATAAAATTGTAACATTTATGGGATAAAAAAAAAAAAACAGTTTTATATGTCATTAAATGTAGAAGATTAGAAGAGTTGAGAACTGATCTTCAGTTCACAACTTGGTATCTGTCAGGGGATGCTAACTTACTACACCTATAAAAGACAATAACTCAAAATAGAACCTAGTTGTATCTTGTCTGGGAGATCAGTGTGGCATTTCTGAACTGAACATAGTGACAAGCAGTTTTGCTCATCCCAACAACCTGGGATTTAACAGTATCTGTGCTGATGACAACTATTTACTCATCTTAAGTCTGATTGGTTCAAATTCAAAGATCAAATTTGAAGCTGATCTCAAAACTGACCTAGTCTCTTAACTGGGACAAGAAATCGATTGTTAACATTAATGTCTCCAAAACAAAATTGCTCTCTTTTAGTATCTGCCCATATTTCTGAGATGAGGCATTATGTATACTATTTACATTATTTGGACTATTGTCTTCATCTTTGTCATCATATTTATCACAATGTTTTGGCCATTGTACGCTCCGGCCTTCTTCAGGAGATAACTGATAACCGACATCCATTAAACATGGCATGTTGAACTAAAACAGTCTACCCCAGTGAGCGAAATAAAGGGTTCAGTATGACATTCCAACCACCTGAAGAAGGCCATTGTGATAAATATGGCGACAAAGATGAGGACAATAGTCCGAATAATGTAAATAATGCTCTTTTAATTGTCTGAGAGAATCTTTTCATCTTCCATTAGCATGGCTGATGCTAACTTCTAGGAGAGTGACTCCTTGTGCCTTCTCAGGCTGTTTTCTACTGACATGAAGTGGAAAGATTATATTGAATCAACTGATAGGACTGCTGCTAGGAAAGATGTTTCACTGTGTTGAGCTAGACAATTTTTCTTGCCAGAATCTATCTTACACATTTATAAGTCTACTATTCATCTAGGCTTTGAATATTGCTGCCACATCTGATCTGGTGCTTCTGTTATATATTTAGTGATTCATGATAAAGAATCTGCAATATTATTGATCCTGACCTGGCTTCAGTCACTTTCTGACCACCATGCTGTAGCTTTTTCTATAAATATTTTCATGGTAATTTTTCTGATGAGCTTACCTCTTTGGTACCTAGGCCTTATGAATTTAAGCGTACTACTAGACTGGCACAGTGGAGTACTGGGTAGCGGCTCAGATTGAGTAATTGGAGAGTAGAGTCCAAATTCCAGTCAAATCCATTACATTCACTTATGTGCTAATACCCTTGAGAAAGGTATGAATCCTTTTCTTCTCCACCTCACCAGCAATGGGTAAATATCAAGACAGACCAGGTTTTATAGCCTTGGATGGCAACTGGTCTACCGCAGAAAGAAATGGCAACCTACTGCAGGAAAAAATCTGCCTTGTCAGTCATGTATCAAAAGATACATGATCGCCTAAACGTGTATCACACATAGCAAGTAACTGACTGACTAGACTGGCAGCAAGGTCTCATCATTTTACAGTTGAAAAGGCCAGATGTAACTAAGTTCTATGCAGATTTCTTTTACACTTCTCACTTGTGGAACTCTCTCCTAGCTTTTTGCTTTCCAGTCAACTTTGGTCTCCAAAAATTTAAATGCAATGTCAGTCATTAGCTTCTGTCTTTTTAATTCCTGTTCTTTTACTGTTCTCTCTCCTTAATGAGGTTTTCTTTCTCTCATATTCTTTCATACTCAGTAATCCCTTATGTCTTAGTGGCTTCATTGCCTTGCCCGAGATGGAATGATTAAAAAAAAAAAACAAAAGAAAGAAAAAAAAAGGTGCATTTGCTTTGCATATTATTTGCTTTTCTCAAGTAAAAATGCATGCAGACATTCAATGACGTATAAGTTTCTGTTCATTTATACTTACAATCAGCTTTGCAATATCATTCATGAATTCTCCATAGTATAAATTAGCATCATCCAGTAAGTGCTTCTGGAATTTTTCTTCAATACTTGGACAGTCTAGTAAGGGACTAAGTGAACGGAGAGTGAATTTGCAGGCCTGTGAAAAGAGAGAAAAATAAGAATAAATATTAACAATTAATATATTCAGTAGACATCATAGAATGCTTTTTATACTATTTACATTGCTCAGACTGTTGTCCTCATCTTTATTGCCATATCCATGAAGCTTCAGTCATTGTATGTTTCGCCTTCTCCAGATGATATATATATATATATATATATATATATATATATATATATATATATATATATATTAGATGGCCTATTGAATAAAAAAGCATTGGTTGAAGTAATCCAAAGACTTGACTCAAAGAGTTGTGAGTTCAATACCTGTCCACAGAAGAGTTGAACAAAAACTTGGAGAGTTGTGTTAATAAAGGAAAATATCCAGAAAAGCACGGCATGTGGAACTAGAACAATCTACCCCAGTGTACTAAATAAAGGGTTTGAAATTCTAGTGTATATGACCTGAAGAAGGCCAGAGTGTACAATGGCCGAAACATTGTGAATATGACAATAAAGTTGAGGACAACAGTCTGAATAATGTAAATAGTTACAATACCTCATCTCATAAATATAAACAGATATCACAGAATGCTTTATTTTTAATTAGATATTCACCAATACAAGACCCAAGAGCCACTCAAGGTAGAGAGTTACTAAATGAGTTTTTTGTATGGAGGTAGGATAGGGAAATAAGTGTTGATAGTGTTGATTATGAAGATGTGTAAGATAGGTAACCCTAGATTTGAAGAGGTTAAGACTGTAGTATTTGGGAAACATCCTCATGAGAGCATGTTCCATAAAGTAATGACTCTTGGAAAGAAGCTGTATGAATGAAACTTTCTTCTTGCTGATGGAAAATTAAGGGAATGTGGATAGTTAGACGTTTACTTGGCATAGCGGGTCCTAGCTGTAAAGGTCTGTAAACTGGTAGAACGAGGGAATGTAACGTGTCAGAACATTTTCTATGGAAATAGTGCAAGAGTAGCAAGAGGCTTGTGACATTGCATCTGTGGGGAAAGAGGTTGTAGGGTGAGAAATAATTGACCACCTACAAGGTAAATGCTTCTAAGCTCTGTCATGGTTGAAAAGAGAGGATTGGACAGTTCTAGCTCAGATATAGCAGCAATACTCCATTTTTAGTCTGATCTGACTCATCCTTGAACGATTCAGAGAGGATTTTTTTCTGTCTATGAGTATAATATATCACTCACACACACACACACACACACACAAAATGGGGTGTTAAAAAGTCTTCAATCTGAAGAGATTCATTTTAATTTTCTTGGTCAGGCTAAGAGCTTTTCAGTACTTCCTCATATAGTAATTTAATCTTAAGTATGTGTGTCTAGTAGTTAAGAATGTTAGCGTTCTGACCTAGGGTCAATTTGGAGGTAACCATGATAATATTGGCCTCAGGAGTCAGTCCCAGCATGTGGCACTATTGAGAAGTGCCTGAAAACCATACCACAGATTGATGCAACCCTTGTTAGTGAAATTATGGTAGATGAAACTAAGAAGCTATTGATGGTTATGCTAGCATGAAATTACAAGTCATCGTGATCGAGGTTTCAAGCAAACTGGCGTTGTTCAACTACTGATCATGTTGGAAACTGTAACTAAGGTCTGCCAAGCACAGTTGCAGTATAAACGACAGGTTGGCTCTGTGGGTGTTGAAGAAATACAAATGTGTCGGCGTTGGAATCTGTAACAGGGAACAGCTATGATTGATTTTTATTATTTTTTTTTTTTTTTTTTTTCTAATCAACCCTTTGTGAGTTTTTAAAAAACAAAACATTTTGGATTATAGAAGATTGCTTACAATACCTGGTGTTCCCAAATGGTCTACCACCTAAAGGGATTAGCTAGATAATCCATCAGATGAGTGTACTTGAAAAAGAAACATCCAAACATTCTATATATATATATATATATATATATATATATATATATATATATATATATATATATGGAGAGAGAGAGGATTAGGTAAATGAGGTAAGTAGTTGGTAAGCAAATAAATAATTACCAAATTTAACCAAGATGTGTAGACATAATAGTGTTCAATGTGATCAGACAGAGCTAAGAAATATATGTTAATAAATGCACATATATCTACGTTTGATGTGTGACTTGAGTTTCGTTGGTTACCCAAGTCATCAGGTATGAGATATAGCATAAACAATAAGCTGTAACTTGTGCCTGATGACTTGGGTAACCAATGAAACTAGAGTCATGAATCAAACATAGGTGTGTGTGTATATATATATATATATATATATATATGCAAGTTTGGATTGAACCTGTACAGCTATTGTCAAATTTCTGAGCATTTTCTTCATAAACTATTGTCTAAGAAACTTTATATTTACTATAGCATTGTGTTCTAAAAACATTGTTTATGCAATGATAATATTTTTTAAAAGATTAATTTGTAGTTAATGCCATGTGTTAATTTGTGATGGAACTTGGTTCTTTTTTATTAAATATATTTAACATGTTTGTTCTTAAATTAGAAGGAACTTTATTAATGTGAGGTTGTTTATATTTTGATAGTTAAGGATTCTAATGTTTATAGTTGCTTTCTACAAATTTACATAATGCTTTTGTATTATCTTTAAGTATTTTTGGGATTTAGAGTTTTTGTTGCATCATTTAATAGAACTTAAATAAATGGCAAGTTATTCTATGAAATAAGGTTGTAATTGTGTAACTAATGTATACATTATTTTAATTTTTTTAATTATTACAGAGTATTCTCCAAGTGGGTATAAAGTGAAAGCCTAGATTGTAAATGCAAGTTAATAAGAACATCTCTCAATACATAAACATTTTTCAAATACTAAAATATATATATATTTATTTACAGACACAGAATATTATACATATATATGAGAGACATACATATGTAAGTGTGCATGAATAAGTCTAAAGTATGACATTTTCCAATGTATGTTTCATATATATGATTAACAATCACTAATGAATAAAGAAAAGAAACAAGATTATTTTGAGAAAAATATATTCATTGTGTGAAATAAATTATTTTATTCATCATTAGGTTCATTGAGGTATTAACATAAAAAATATGACAATCACAATAGAAAAATTTTTTAAGAACATCTTTGGTAATTTTGTTGTGCATGAATTATAAACATACTTATATAATATTATTATAATATAAGGATAATAAAATAATTACATAATATATCATATTATAATGGATGATATAATAATTATATATCATATATTATAAGGGATAATATAATAATTATATATCATTATAATATATAATAATAGAAGGATAATATTATTGCCATGAAAATATACTTTATTGAAAAAAAAAAAAAGAAAAAAAAACAGTTCATAGTAAAATGAAAATGAAATGATAATTAGTCTTTCCAATTAAGTTCAGCTTTTATAAATTCATTTCACTATTGTTGTCAACACTACTTAAGAAATGAAAAAAAATTAAAGACTTTTGGGCAATAAACAAAATCCTGTTAAATTTCCCTTTGTTTTAATGAGAAATTTGTTTACCTTGCGAACATCCACTTCAGCATCATTCAAATGAAGTAGCAAACTGACAAAATTCGTGTGAATTTGTTCTAAAATGGCCGGTTTTGACTGACCCCCAGAGAATCTGGATAGATTTCCAAACAGCATGATGGCTTGTGAACGGACACTGGGCACTTCCTTTTAACACAAAAAAAGAACAAAAAGAGACAAAAAAAAATTCACCAATTAGATTAAATACAAGATATCTTGAAAAAAATTCACCAATTTTAAGGGTGATTTTCTCTCATAAAACATTCTGGAGCTATTTTCAAGAGCTACTGAAATCACTGTACATAGACTAAAAGCTATGTACTAATTTGAGTAGTTAAATCTACTTTATAGTTTTAGTCAAATAAATGTATGCATATAGACGTAAAGATTAGAAATCTCAGTATTTACATCTGAATTTTTAGGAAGGGGAGATATTATTTACATTATTTACTGTCTAACATCTTCATTTTATCATTATTATCACAATGTTTCAGCTGGCGTAGCATCTGGCCTTCTTCAGATGTCTGTCATTCAGGGAATGTCAAAATGAACCCTTTATTTATGGTGGTAGATTGTTTTTATGCCAGTGTCCCTCTAATGTGGGACAATAGCCTTGAGGATTAAAGCATTGGTTTGTAAATATAATGGCATGGTAATTGAGAGTTCAATCCTTGGGCCAGGTAGTACAGACTTAAACTGTGGGAACAAGATTAACAGTAACCGAGTAGTAAAAAAAAAAAAAAATAATTAGATATCCCTAGACATGGACAGCAGAACAAGAACAATCTCTTCTGCTGATTAAATAAAATGTTCACTTCAAATTTACTTGGTTATTTAGATTGACAGACACCCGAAGAAGTCAAAATGTTGGAATAATAGCAATAAGTGCAAGGATATAAGTCCAACTGTAAATACTTATAAATACTTATTTATTAATTATTTAGTGATTAAAATTGATTCACATGTTGGCTATTTGAAAAAATTTTACTGTTCATTTTTGTCAGGTATGTTTGAACATTTTGTGGAATGAAAAATAATAGCAAAAAAAAAAAAAAAGAAGAAAAATAAGAAAAAAAAATCACTGGTCATTTATGTTTTATCTTTAAATCAATATTTAACCTTTTCAAAACAGGGTCGGATTTTCAGTATGACATTGATAAGTATTGAGCGAATGTCCTCTTCATCAATGACAGACATCACCCGAGACAATCCACTCATTGCTTCTAGAGTGATACTGTCATTCATATCGTCTTTGTCATCCAATCCTGACATCAAGGCTGAGAGAACTGTCGTTGAATATTTCTGAACCTGAAAATAAAAATGAACAAAGATTAAGATATTTTGTTTTACTGCTTTTCAAATTGGAAAGTATAAATTTTTTTCTGAACTAAAACTTAGAAAAATTTTGTACAAATCTTTTTGAATGCAAAGCTTAAGACAATAACCTTAAGTGATATTTACTATCACTTTTATTCCATGAGCACAACTGCAAATAAACAAAAAAACAAATTTTGGCTAAATCATTTAAAAATTTAAATTAAATTCAAATTTGAATCTATTGTATACTACTATGCTGGGTTGGAAATAGTACTAAGCACTAGTTAGTTCATAACAAACACTAGGGATTTACATGTCATGATGTCACACACACACACACACATATATATATATAGCATGTGTGTGTTGCTTTCCTTTATAATTAAAGTTCATATTTTTTATTTTTTCTAAATCAAAATTATAGTAAGCAACTAATGCAATGAGTGTGATGTTTTGTAAAAGATCCCTTTTGTATTTATAAAAATTATATGAATACAACAGGGATCTTTTTTAAAAGAATGCACTCAAGGCATTAGTTGCTCACCATAATGAGTTTGACCATATATATATATATATATATATATATATATATATATACACACACACTAGTAATAATCTTATAAGTATAAGAAATTATACTCGTCCGGAAAACCTTCGGTGTCTTGATTTGCGAATAATCAAACCAATACCAAAGGGAAAAAAAAGGTATAAAAAAAGAAAGAACCAAGAACATGTACGTTAGCCGAAAATAATCGTCTAGCATGCAAGTCCAAAGAAAAAAACCCCGATACAAGTAAGTAAAATTAAATAAAGTGCTCAATATGTTAAGTAGAGCAGACCAAATTAAACCTAGAGGGCCAGACAAACCTACCAAGGTTTCACCTATGCGGATTGTCAGGGAAGGCTGGCTAAAAAGGTAACATAAGAATGGAATATTTATAGCTTATAAACATAAAATCATAACTACATGACCAACAAAAAAAAAAAAAAACGTCACGTGTTTATGATTTTATGTTTATAGGCTATAAATATTCTGTTCTTACGTTACCTTTTTAGCCAGCCTTCCCTGACGATCCGCTTAGGTGAAACCTTGGTAGGTTTGTCTGGCTCTCTAGGTTTAACTATATATATATATATTATATATGTATTATTCATTACAAGTATGTACAAAATAGTGAAAAAATAAGAAAAAAAAAAGAAGGAATAGTTTTAGTTGGTTATAGTCATTTGTGACAACTCACCATTTCAACCAAAACTCCATAACTATCTCATTAAGTATTTTTTTTTAATTCCTCTGGGTTCTAACAGGGAAGAAGTCCCACTAAATAGCTAATAACAGTGATTGGTTTTGTCACTAGAAACACATTACATCAGATGAGCAATCTAAGGAGGAGAGAGTTAAATCAAATTTGTAGTTTCCATGTAATTTTTTTTCTCTACTATAAACTTTTGTTTGTGGATGATTTCATCTTAGAGAATGTGGCTTTTTCAGGAAAGTTTTTGTTTTTTTTAATGTCTCACTCTATGAGACAGAAATTATGCCTGTTACATTTTCCTGCAAACACTTCAAATAATGTTATCTTTTTTTTTTTAATAATTGCTGATTTCAGCTCACACCACCATACTTGCTTCCAGTGTCTTGACAGAGAACTAGCTGACATTGAGGAAGTATTGGTTCACTTATTTTGTAATTTTTTAAATAAAAGTTATAAATCTTTACCATTTTTAACTTCTAACACATAGCTTAAGTTATTTCAACCTATGAAGACCTAATTGAATAAAATTCCCTTATATAGGCACCAGCAGGGATACCTGGCATTGCTCAGAAGATCCCTGAATAGTAGTTTATTATTGACAATTTATTGATATTTTTCAACCATCTTATGGGAGATAATTTTTTATTCAATCTTTAAAAAATAAACTTCATTGCTGTTTTGGTTTGTTACAAAATAACTAAATTCTGGAAAGTACCAAACTACCAATACCATGATCGAGGTGGGGGACTTAGGGAGCTGAGCATCTCCATATTTTTATTCAAAAAGACACTTCAATTTTTTAATTAAATATTAACATAAATACTCTGCTAATGTTGTTTTCAAACAAATCAAATTGATTTATCTAAATTCGTTAACCTTTTTTCAAATTATTATTAATAAAAAAGTAAATAAACTTAAATTAAGATATATTTAAACATTTAATTTAATCATTTTTTCAAGCAAAAACTATATTGAGCCTTACTTCATTGAAAAATAATTATTTACTAAATAGTAAATAATTATTTTTCAGGAGGGGAATTTTGATTTTTTTGGAGGGGAATTTAGATTTTTTTTTTAAGTAAATGAAGTTTTACTTTTAAACAGTACATTTAAAGAATGTGAAAGAAGCAAACATTTCTCTGTAAATGAATTTAATTACTATTTTGAAAGAATAAAAGTAGATATACTGAGAATTTAGTTTTGAAACTGTTTAAATTTCAAGTTATATTTGTATTTGAAAAGAAAAAAACTTTAGTTAAATAAAAATTAGGAGAGACAGACAAAGTTACAGTCAAGATTAGTTGTGTTGAATATTTGTTTTATGAATTTAACTATATTTTATTTAAATTAATTTTTGAAAAAATAAGGCTTGTTATAGTTTTTTGCTTTAATAAAACTTAATTTAAAATTATTTACTTTTTATGTTAGTTAAAAACCAAAATTGTTCAGACTGTCAACCTCATCTTTACTGCCATATTCATGACATTTTGATTGTTGTATGCTCCAGCCTTCTCCAGGATCTGTCTATATTTCTGAGATGAGGTATTGTAACTATTTACACTATTTACATTTTTCAGACTGATATTCGTTGGAATTTTGAACCAAACTCTTTAATTAGTTCACTGGTGTAGATTGTTCTCATTCTACATGCCATGCCTTTTCTAGATGTTTTTTTTTAAACTAAATTTATTCCTGGAGAAAGAAGATATATAAGCTCTATATAGCAAACTAATGGTGGGTAAGTAAATGATGAAATGGAAAATAATCATTGTAACATCCTTCAAAAGGACTTGATCAGGTTAAAATAATGTTCTTAATGATGGAATTGTATGTGTGTGTATGCATGCTGAAGAGGGGGTAAAATATATTTTAAAAAATGTCAGTGATAATTATACATTGAAAGGAATGCTAAACTTTAAATTCATGGCACCCAATGTCTATATCTAGCTGTAGATATAGATACATTTGTTTTTTCCCATTTTGTCATTCAGTTACACATCAAACTTATTCCTGTTATACCATAAGCTGCTTAAACATAGGCATTTTGGCCTTGACTTCACACTAACAATACTAAAACAAACCTGTCCACTTTTCATACAAATGATTAAGTGACAAAAACGAAAGTGGGCAGATAGTTAAGAAAAGATAGCAGATGGAGCAAAAGGTTGCTTGATTGGTGCCCAGTGGATAGCAATCATTATAAGAATAGATCAAACAGAAGAGATAGAAACAAGTCAGTATGAATTAGAAAATAGTACAATAGAGTACAATATTAATAAAAGTAGGAAGGGCATATAGCAAGAAGAAAAAATAACAGAAGAAAAGATTGTCTGATTGATGCCGTAAGGAAAAGATCAGATAGAAGAAATAGAAAGGAGTCAATATGGATCAGAGAATAGTATAAAGTAAGAGATTAATAAAGGTAGGAAGGACATATAGCAAGAAGATAACAGAAGAAATATTGTTTGCTTGGTAGTCAATTGAAAGCAAATGTAGCAAGAAATAAAACAAATATAGAATAGAAGAGTTTGCTGGTCAGACATGTGAGAGAATAGCATAATGATATTTGTCATGGAAAGAGATGAAAAAGGCTTTTGTCCAGTAGTGAACTAGCAATGGTTGTAGATAATGGTCATGCCTACGGTAAGAAAAATAATTCCAAGAATAATCACTTACCATTTCTTTTCCCATGCTTCCAAGATTGCCAAGACCACGGATACAATACATACGCACCAAATGGCAGCTGTCCACCATTCGCCCAAGTAAACCATTGATCATGGACTCAATCAGAGCAGTCCTTTCTGGACATTTTTGATTGATCAACTGTAAACCAAAAGAAACAAATCCAAAATTTAAAACTGACTGAAACTTGCAGATATCCAAGAAAGCAAAACATTTAAATAAAAATATTGTTCCAAGTTCCAAATTAGTCCCCATCTAAGTACTGACCAGGTTTGATGCTGCTTAACTTTGGTGATTAAATGGGAACTGGTGTTTTCTGCATGATTAACTGTAGGCAAATAATAAGGCAAACAGGAGTTCTCTAGGTTTGGCTGGATACCAATCCAAGAGGACAACTTTGAATTCAAAACCAATGGGTGTGAGGCTAGCAATTCCACCTCATAAACATACTTGCTACTGAAACTGTAGCAGCATCACTTAGTGGAATGAGGTTGTGGCTGTCTGGTGTTGAGTTCATTACATTCCCTTTCACACAAATATTCTTGAGAATGGTATGAGTCCATCTATTTTCCCTTCAGCTATGGGTTAAGTAGCAGGCCAGACTTGGTTGTCTAGCTATGGTTGGCAAGCAGTCTAGGAGAAGGAGAACGATGAATTCAAAACTAGTTTGTAGATTTGGCAAGACACATACCAGACAACCATGGAAAAGATTTTGGAGCTCACAACTGCAAGACTGTGGACTATGGTCTTGACTGCAGTTGATGAGACAAGTAGGTATATATGTTGGCAAATTTAGTACTATCAAGTTTAGTTTCAAGTAATTAAGAGATAAGTGGACATCTTATAATTCCAAGTAAAAATATATATCAATTGTCATGTTCTTATTTTGAGCCTAGATTGAATTATATACAAAATACATCATGGATATCTCTAAAACAATATATAAAGACAAAATGTGGTGTAGACTAAGTGGTCATGATTAAATGTAAATGGCAGAATTGCTTAAACAGAATTGATAAAGTTTGTAATAAACAAGAAAAGAAAATAGAATAAGGCAAAAAATAATATTGAGCAAGCAAACAATATATGCAAAACAAAACAAAAAGGCAAAAAATTCACAAACTAAGAACTGGTGTTGACACACAAGAGCAAATATGGATAAACAAATGTAGCATTCTGATTTCACGACAAGACAGACCGGGACCAACTCAGCTGAAATCAAGAAGTGGCCTATCTCATTGGCTAGAATGAAATCCCAGCATGCATTTGTGTGATTTCATCTATAAATTAGGGAGGGGGAAATATTTTCCAATCATTCCTACTGGATTGGAACCAACATATGTGAAAATCTGATTCCGTAGTCATACATTAGCACTTTGATAATCATCTGTAAAAATTCGATCATAATGGAATCATCTTTATATATTTGTAATTGTTTGACTAAAAATAAGTCATAAAAATCATTAATTTAATAAATTTACAATAATAAGTATTCTTAATATAATTATAAGGGTTCTTACCTAGTCATTTTTAAATTTGTTATTTTTAGCATTAAAGAAAAAAAAAATTAAATGACTATCAGTAATTAAAATTTTAAAATGATTTTATTGAAATTATTAACTCTTCTTATACAGTGGATCCTTTTTATTGATATAAAATGAGGAATGTGAATAGAAATGAAAAAAAAGGAGAAAAAAACAAACAAACATATCTGCTGGCAAATGTAAAAGAATGCATATTTACCTCAGCATAAAATGCTGCAGTAACAATTCGTTGAGGCTCATGGTAACTAGAAAGAGCCGGATTTAAGTTGATCACAATCTGAGGCACCAAATGAGGATTGTTCTGAGCCAAGTTTCTAAAAAGAGAATTAAAAGAAAAATGTGCAAAATTTAGAATTTGATTTAAAAATTCAACTTTTTAAACAAGATTCATTTGGTGGAATATTTATGCCACATGTTTTATATTTAACATTTTTACCTGGCAAGGGCAGTAAAAGCTTCGGGATATGTTTCAGGATCTTCAAACTTAGGCCAATAACCATTCTCCGTTAAATGATTAACTAGGTCTGTGAGAGTGGCTCGTTCTAGGAGCTTTTCAAATGCCTTCACAACCACACTAGAAGATAGAAAAATGAACAAATATTGTTAAAACTACACTGCAAACAAAGATATGAACATATAACCAAAGACAATAGGAGTATGAGGTAAGTGACTAAAAATGTATATTTTAGAAAGAAAATATACAAATTCTTCAAAATGAAAAAAATAAATTAAAACTAAAATAAATATAAATAAAAATAATAACTCCATAACACAGCAGAACAAAGAAAAACAAATTGACCTGCACAACACAATCATTGCTAATGTTATATAATGTAAGCTTATTTCTAACAATGTCTTTAATAGAATAAAAATTTATAAGAATGAATTTTCCTCACCAGAATCTATCTTACATATTTATAAGCCTACCATTCATCCATGTTTTAAATATTGCTGCCACATCTGGCCTGGTGCTTCTGCTATGTATATAGAGATTCTTGATAAAATAGAATCAGCAATGTTATTGGTATTGATATGGCATTTTGGTTTCAATCACTTTCCCACCATCGTAACATGGCTTTATTGTGAATTTTCTATAAATACTTTCATGGTAATTGTTCTGATGAACTTTTCTCTATGGTACCTAGACTCTATGAATTTAAGTGCAATACTAGATTGGTGGCAAGGTCTCATCTTTTTACAGTTGAAATGGCTAGATGTAACCATAAGTTCAGTGCTAAGAGTTTCTTCTCTTACACTTCTTGCTTATGGAACTATATTCTGTCTTCTTGCTTCTCAGTCAAGTTTGATTTTCAAAAGTTTAAATGCAATGTCAATCTTCTGTCTTCTTAATTCTTGTTCTTTTATTGTTCTCTCTCCTTAATAGTATTTTTTTTCTCATATTTTCTTACACTTTGTGACTGCTTGCATCTTAGTGGCATTATTGCCTTGCTTGGAGAGAAATGATTAAAAATAAATGCTTCAAATTTTTAAATTTATGCTTAATATAATCAATTGGATATTATCTAAAATACCCAGTCCCAGTGTGTCTTCTTTTAGATGCTAATGTTTTTGTTCAACTCCAAGAAGAAACTTGGGCTTTGCCTCAGATTATCTCAACAGATTTAGTTAAATTTTAGATATAATATAAAGAAGATGGAAATAGAGAGTAGTAGCAAATACAGACTAAATGAACTTTATGTATTGGAACTGGAAAATAAAGTTTTTAGATACTTACTGGCTTGGAACAATGTAAATAATCTCTCGAATTTCAGCACCTTTTTTTTGATCCAAGTCGTCCTGCAAAGAAAAGCACTAATTTACCCAACAGGCTACCAGAGTTGTTAAATAAACAAAATTTCAATTTGCTCTTAATCATTTTTCAATGAGTTCTAATTTTCTTTGTTGGAAGTAGTCTAAAATTTTACTCCTTTCTATATATTTGAACTTGACATTTCATAGTTAATACTGTAGCTGTGCATTTAATGTCCATTCTGTTAGCTCATTAGCAATATACCATATATGGTATATTGTTGGTTGTATTGAATCCTTTCTGATGCAAACACAGTTCAGATGTGCTGGTCATGTCATCAAAATGAGTGATGATTGGATGCCAAAAATCTTCATGTATCGCTAATTTTTTCATGGTAAGCATAACGTATACCGTTTTTAGTTACACTTCAAGGATAAACTTAAATTTAATTGCTGTAAACATCCCTATAGAGGAGTTCAAACTTGCTGTTGAAAGCTGAGCAAACTGGAGAAATACCTGCTACCAAGATATAACTAACTTTGAGAAGAATCGTCTTAACCATCTGAGAGAATTAAGAATTAACACTAGATCTCTGGCTAATACATCAACCCATATGATGGTCAACCCTTCAGTATGCCCTTCGTGTGGATCTGTATGCAAATCCTGTACAGGATTGGTGTCTCATATGAAACATAAACATAAAAAACTGAACTGAAAGACACTCATATGTTGAAAACAATGGGAGTCCATCATATATATATATATATATATATATATATATATATATATATATATATATTCTAAAATTACCTGGATTATTAAACTAGAATGATACATAGATACCAAACTTGGTTTTCAATCTGACCTTCACCATGTGGGATACAGGATAATTTTAATGGCCAGATTCTATATTAATGAAAAGGGTTTTATATGCTACACAATATGGATTATATTTTTTGAAACCCTTATAAAGTTAAACATAGCATTGTCACAAACTTGCATATTAGACATTCCAGATCATACAATTGAATTGCTTATCAGAAAGATATTCATTAAATTTTAAATAACAGTAAATTAGTATATATTAGGAATTATTTATTTCATTGAACCATCTATATAAGAAAAATAGATTATCTCCCTTGAATTAAAATCGCATTCATGGGTGGATAATGATTTATTTTTTAAGTTATACCTAGCAAAACTAAGATCCTGAAATTACATTCTTAATAAGAAAGCCCTTCTAATATGTAGCTAATTTTTTTTTATCTGGTCATCAGTACATGTACTAGATTATACTAAGTGTTGTGTTTTAAGCTTCTGGCATGTTGGTTATAAAATTGCATCATCAATAGCAGAATTTAAGAAAATGAAAAACACTTACAATTCTGGGTGATCTGGTCCCTGCTAATGAAGCTACAATAAGCATCATTGTGGTGAAGAGTCTGTGAAATTGGTCAGTGACAACGCCTTCTGTTTGGCCCACAGTGAACATTTCATCAAAAGCACACATGATCTGAAATTAAAACCGTAAAAACACGTAAACAAAGAGTAAACGAATGTTTTTTTTTAAAAATGACTAATATACTAAAATGCAGAGTTGGCTCACTGATTAAGATCATGAAAAATGGAATTAATGAACAGAGTTCAAATTCCAGCTGAAGTAATTTGTGTCCACTTCACACTTTGGGAAAGGAATAAATCCACTTCTCTGAATAGGCCTTGTCAGAGGGTTACTCCCTTCTGATGGTATGCAATAAACCTGTTAAATCTTACTTGGAAAAGATATTAGCACAACCAAGTAACCACCATGAAAGATCCTGTATGGTATTCCTGTGATCTACTAAATCAGAAGGGAAATGGCAGCAGAGGGAGCTAAGCTTCATAACAAGGCAGCAGCAACAGCAGAGGAAATAAGAACACTAGGTTTAAATCTCCAAAATCTTACTTCAGGATTGTTCTGTAGAGACAAATATCTGAAAGGATTAAAGTATTGGTTCGTGAATTTGGTGGCATAATAATTGGGAGTTCAATTCCTGGTAGTGCAGATGCACTCAGTGGAAACATGACTAACCTAGCAACACTAATAAAAGACAATTAACCAAGACAAACATGGATAGTGGAATGAGAACCATCTACACTTATATTTTAAATAAAAGGATCACTTAAAAATTCCCAGATTGTCAGACACCTGAAGAAGGTTGGAAGGGACAACAGTTGGAAAGTTTTGATAATAACAAAGATGAAGTCATTAGCGTGACTATAAATAATATACGCAATGATAAGTCTTCATTGCAGAAATTCAGACAGAAAAGAATAAGTAAAAAAATAAAGCAAAGGAAAAAGATCAAAGAAGAATTAAGTAAGATAAAATGGAAAATATAAAAACAATTCATTGGTTAGAGAGGAAAAGAAACTTGTACAGAATAATGAAAGATGGCAAAAGAGAGTGTAGTCTGGAGACAATACAGGAATATTGAGAGAAGTGGGAAATGGTGAGAGAAAGAGAATAATGAGTAGTAGGAGGAGGAAAGAAAAGGAAAAAAGAGAAGTATAAAAAGAAAAAAGGAGGAGGAGGAGAAGAGAGGAAAGAGGAGGAGGAGAAGAGAGGAAAGAGGAGGAGGAGGAGAGAGGAAAGAGGAGGAGGAGGAGAGAGGAAAGAGGAGGAGGAGAAGAGAGGAAAGAGGAGGAGGAGAAGAGAGGAAAGAGGAGGAGGAGGAGAAGAGAGGAAAGAGGAGGAGAAGAGAGGAAAGAGGAGGAGGAGGAGAAGAGATGGAGGAGAGACAGGAAGGTGGAGGAGGAGAAGAAAAAGAGACAAGGAAAAAGAGACAAGGAAAAAGAGACAAGGAAAAAGAGACAAGGAAAAAGAGACAAGGAAAAAGAGACAAGGAAAAAGAGACAAGGAAAAAGAGACAAGGAAAAAGAGACAAGGAAAAAGAGACAAGGAAAAAGAGACAAGGAAAAAGAGACAGAGAAAAAGGAGCATAAGAGAAGAAGGAAATAGAGGAGGAGAAGGATAAAAAGATAAAGAGAAGAGGAAGAAAATAGGAGGAAAGAAGAAAAAGAGGTGTAGGACAGGGAAAAAAAGAGAAAAAAAAAGTAAGAAATGAATTTGCAAAAGGAGAAACAGAAATACTTACAGACAAAGGTCCCATCATCGCATAGCGCACCATATCCCTGTTATCTGTCCGTTCCTCATATGGACGTTGTGCCAGAATATTCTCCAGCATTTGGTCAATCATCATAGTGACAAGCTGGGAATCTTCAGCAAGGCACCGCCAAATTGCAGACATATTTCTAAAAAGAGGGAATTTTTACCAAAGTTCAAGGAAGGAAAATATAAAATATTGCAAATAGTGTGAAGATTTTATTACTAGATCTCAAAAGGGTTATTCAGTATTATTAATAGCTTTCATAGCAGGAAGCAACACAAAACTAATGTGTGTGTGTGTGTGTGTGTGTGAAGTGCTGCTGAAAAGTGAAGATTTTTTGCCTGATCAAGAAGCCCTTTCTCCAAATAGTCCCAGGTATGAAGACAAACTACATCCGTCAACAAAACCTCTGATTGGGAGATTGGAGGTTTTGAGGAATGTGGAATCACCTCTTAATTGCTGTTGCTCCAAGTCCCACCCTGATCTGGAGTAGTAGCACCTGTTAGGGTCCCAGCTATGGGCAAATAGTGAACCCACAAATGAAAACAAAAGTATAAAATCGGAGTATAAAAATACATTTTTTATAAGAAAAATACCAGTAATACAATTTTATATAAAAAAATTACCAACAATACATATTTAAACTAAAATTGCAAACAATATATTTTATAGCAAAATGACCAAAAATACATTTTATCTGTATTTGAAGGCATGCAATTGCATTCAAAATATATTAATTAGAAGCCATAAAATTGTTCAAAATATTTAGATTTTAGTATTAAATAACCTATAGAGGTGTTGATAGGCCACTAAAAATCAGCCAAACAAAATTTGATGTTTTGTAATTTGGTTAGATTTTAGGTGAATTAAGACCTTTTCAACACTATCCTCCACTGTAGATGAGTTTTATTGAAAGCACACTTGATCACCAATCTTTGAAAATTGACATCTTAAGTTTTTTTAAGCTTTGATATTTTTCATAAAAAGATAAAATGAAAATTCTGAATCAGAACTTAGATAGTACCAAATGCAAATATACAACTGATGAATATATTGGGCAGAATATTACAATAAAACAACAAAAGATATTGGCTTGAATAGTGTGTAGGATAATGAAAATGCTTCCTCAAAACTTCCGGCAACAATGTGTAGTAAGTGGCAATGAGAAAGAAAGAAGGCAATAAAGAAAAAGCAATAAAAAGAAAGATAGAAAGTTGATGCTGAAAAGTTCTCAGTCCACCCCACTTCTCATTATCAATACTCTGATGTTTGGGCATCAAAATACTGATTTTGGGAAGTATGTCAGGCTGGGGACTTTTCAGAACCACCTTACAGAGAATATGAAAAAAAAAAGTAAATACCTAAAGAGCACTGAATGCATATTTACTATATCTGAAGAAGGCTAAAGATTATATTGGCCAGAATATTATGATAAAACAACAAAAGATACGGTTTTGAATATAGTGTAGATAATGAAAAGGAAATATTGTCGTAAATGGTTTTGTATAAAAAATCTATTTTTCTCCTGTAGTTTGGTATGCTTTGTTCAAATATGACCTTAATTTCCTGTGGAAATGTTTAACATTTAAAATTAAGTTTTAAAGGGAAGTGAATGATGTTTATGTTGAAGCTTGACTGTGTTTGCATTTATGACTGTTGATATTCATCTTCTATAAAAAAATAAATGGCAAATTCTGTCTCTCCGTTTGTGTGTCTGAAACTCTTCTAACTCGAACCACACTTACCCTACATAGACATATTATATCTTTTTGGAATCAGGATGATACCTGGATTGAAAATCTGTTTGTTATCTGGTGCTTGAACATCCAGTATTGAAATTTTGTCCAGTTGAGGAAGGAACCGTTAAAAATTCAAATTTTAAAATAACTATATTATTTACATTATTCGGACTATTGTCCTCATCTTTGTCGCCATATTTATCACAATGTTTTGGCCGTTGTACTCTCTGTTCTTCAGGTGGTTGGAATATCGAACCAAACCCTTTATTTCACTCACTGGGGTAGACTGTTCTAGTTCCACGTACCATGTTTGATGGATGTCAGTTATCAGTTATCTCCTGTTAATTCCCCTCTAAAAGTTCTCCACTGCCTTCACCAGGTATTGAACTCAGAAATTCATACACAGATGTCCTCAAGGACACATGACACAGTGGATAAAGGCGTTGGTTAGATCCAGTGACAGGACCCAAAGAGTGTGAGGACAATGTAAATAGAAAAAAATAAGTGAGGATTTTCTTTATTTACTGTATGTTTGGTAAAATGCAGGTGTGTTTTCAAATCCAGCTTGTTTGCTCACCCCCCCAATGACTGCCAAGCAAAAACAGACACTTTAACCATCCAGCTGGAGTTCATAAAATAAACATACCCAGGTGCCACCCATCAGTGTACCAACCCCCATTATGGCTGAAAGTTCTTTCACACTAATCTGCATTTGAAAATACATTAATCTTACATTATCAGCTATCAACATAACTTCTCATTGCCTTCTTTCAATTTCTGGTTCAGGGTTCATGCCCTCCTGAAGGCAGAGTTGATTTTGCAAAACCATGTTTTAATTTTCTGTTTACTTAAATTTTAACCCTCAAATACCATTATTACATTTCTACTTATGAATCATTGATTTCAGGATTGTTATCCTGTTACCTGTTGCTTTCTCTGTAGTTTTGAATTCAGAGTATTCCTTCTCCAAGACTGTTTTAATAATACTAATTATTTCAGTTTATGTTTTATTTACCAATAGCTAAGAGGTGAAAAAATGGATTCATGCCTTTTCCAAGGGCATTAGCACAAAGTGAATACAACAGTCTTAACTGCCATTTGAACTTGTCCTGCCAAATTTGTTTTCTGTGCTGATAGCTGTTCCATCACTGAAATACAGAAATCAAGAAAATTAAATGGTAAACTTACACATCATATGGAACAGGGTAAGACAAGAGGGACTTGAGTGCTATAGGAAGGTGCTGTGAAATTATTGTCCGAAGAGCACGGAGGGTTCCAGTCCTTGCTTGTACATGGTGAATTTCTTCCAACCTTGTGTGTAAGGAGTCAATTATCTTGCTTACCTGAAAAGACAAGAATTTCTTTTGATTAAATTATACTATACCTGATAATGTCTAAGAATATATTTCTCCTTTAAATTTATATGGAGAAAGATAGCAACTCTTTAATTGGATAATATTTGCCAGATTGAGAACACTTACAAATTGTATGGGTTATTTCTCTTATAGGAGGAGGTGCTGAAAAGTTTTCAGCCCAAACCAATGATTAAACATTAGGATTTTTTAAATCCCTATTTAGCTGTACCAACAACTTTTCAGCACCCTCGTTTGTGGTGTACATACATAAAGGCTGGCTACTCATTTCCAGGAACACCTGTTTGCTAAGGAAACTAACCGATCCCTGTTGCAGACGTCTGCTCAGGCACATTTTGTGTTTGTTCAATAATAATTCTGTCTACTCAATTTCACTCATATGGCTTGGGTCAACGAGGGGTATGGCTTTCAGGCATTTTCCAATGTTACCGCACACAGGTTGATAAACTCCTTGACAAATCAACCATGGTTAGATTCAAACCAAGGTCTCATGATTGGAAAGAGAATGTTCTAACAACTTGTCATGTGTATATACCTACATTTCAGGAAGGTATTAAAAAGGATAGTGAATAGGTGGCGACAATTTGAAATCATAATATCATTTGTGCTTTTAATAAAAGGTACTCCCATATAAGTGGGAATGTTCTTTCTCCTTTGTTTCTTTTAAATCATTCTGAATGTGTGTGATATATTATTTCTAGCCACTACTATTCATATATTGTGAATATTATTGTCTTCTGGTTTAAGTTAATAATGAATTTAGCCTGATATATTTTGTGCATATATTAATTTCTTCCAATCATAGAAACTATTTTCTCATCACAGTTTCTCTATGATACATAGACTTTATAAATTTAAGTGCAGTACTAGATTGGCAGCTAGGTCTCAACATTTTACAGTTGAAATGGCTAGATGTTAGATGCTAACAGTTTCTTTTCTTGCTCTTCTTGCTTGTGGAACTTTCTTCCACCTTCTAGCTTCCCAGTCAACTGTTATCTTCCAAAATTCAAATGCAATACCAATCATTATCTTCTATCTTCTTAATTCCTGTTCTTTTATTATTCTCTCTCCTTAATTGTGCTTGTGATTTTTACTCATATTTTCTCAAACTCAGTAATCCCTTGCATCTTCATAGGTTTATTGTCTTGCTTGAGGTGAAATGATAAAAAAAATATGACAACTGAGTAGGTTTCAGCTATCATGCCTCTGCTAGAGTTAAAATGTTTAAGTAATAAGTTGCAATAGAAAGCATTTTTTTTTTTACAATAATCGACACCCTGTACTAGGACCAAGGGTAACTCAAAGTAGAGGGTTACTGAAGTAAGAGTAAAGGGCATAGTTTATACAGATATGTAAGATAGATAACAGTTAACCCCAGACTTGAAAATTTAAGACTGCAGTAATTGGGGAAGCATCCTCTTGGGAGTTAGTTCCACAAAGTACCAGTTTGTGGTATGAAGCTGTAGAATGGAACTTACATTTCATCAATGGTATATGAAAGTGATGAATATGCATACACCTGGGTTCCCCCTCACGGTGATATGATTGGCTGGTGTCAGCCATAAATACAGACTGATGTGGAGGTACATGGCTATGCCTATAGTCTTCGCCTATTGCCTACCCCTATGACAAGGACCAATCCATTATGGTTACCTGCTAGATTGTCCTACTCGGTTACAGTAGTCAACAACCACTTTGCTACTTCGGACAAATATATCCCTTTCTGGAACATATCAGAAAGAAATGAGGGTTGTTTGCTACAATGTGCATAGCATGGCATGTCTTATCTGTGAATGTTAAAACTGGTGGGACTAAGGAATGTAGTCTGTACACTTTCTATGGTATTAGTGATTGAGTAGTGAGAGGGTTGAAATATTTCATGAGTGGAAAATAATTCATCACCCACAAGGTCACAGACACTTTTGAACTATTGAAACTGGAAAGTGAAGACAGGTAGCAGTACTCCATTTTTGGCCTGATCTGGTAGAGGATATCAAGAGGAGTCAAGAGCTTACTGACCATTTTTCCAGCATCTTTAGTGATGGATCATATGTACAAGTTCCACGTTGTCTGATTTGAGCTCAAGTCTCAATCGGTGCTCAAGACACCTGACCTGAGAGACCACCTTTTCATTACAAGAGACAAAAATTTGGGGTCTTCTTGGTAATGATAGAATGTCAATAGTTTGGTTTTGTGGCATTGAATGCAACCAGCTCTTTTCCCCGCCAGTGAGCTGTAACAGCTAGGTCAGAGGAGAGATCAGTTGCCAGGCTCTGGTCATCCAGAGTTTGGGAATTGCACCCATATAACATTGTATCAACAATAGATATCCACAAAAGATCAAAGCATACTCTTAAGTAGATCAGTAATGTAAAGTAGAAGAGAAAGATGGACCAAGAAGCAAACCTTGGGACATGCCTGAATTAAGTCTTTTCTTTTTACATGCTGTGTCCCTTCAGGACATGGGGGAAATGGTGAGCCATGATCGCCTATCTCTTGCAGCTCTCAATAAGTTTTGTCCTTCTGCCACCTCCCCTAGACCATGTTCTGTTATCTACCTGCTTAAGCCCACCAAATATGTCATGCATTGCTTTCTCTTGTCTCTCTTTCCCGCTATTCAACCTATGAGTATCAGATTCTCCAGACCCTCCTTTCTCATTACATGTCTCAGCAATTTAATCTGCCTCTTCCTGATGTTGAGTATAAGCTTCCTCCTTGTTTGCATCCTCTCCAAAACCTCATTGTTGCTCACATGCTCGGTCCATGATATCCTTAGCATCCTTCTGTAGAACCATATCTCTGTTGCCTCGATTCTTTTCTTCGTCAATGAGGAAGCTGTTTAACATTTGCTGCTGTAAAGGAGGACAGATATCACATAGCAGCTCATTACTTTTTATCTATTACCAAAGAAATCCTCCTGTTTTGCAATACCCTGCTTAACTTTTGGAATGTGCATCATTGGCCATCCCAATACGTCTTTGGATCTCAGTGTAACACTTACTGTCCTCCAGCAAAATGCTTCCCAGATATTTAAACTTCTGCATCTGCTTGATTTTAGTGTCTACAACCTGTAAATCACATTTTGGGCTCATCCTTTTACTGATGACCATGCATTCTGTCTTGTAGTTTATGCTTAGTCCCTTCTTCTTGCTCTCCTTCGCTATCTTCTGTAAGAGGTTTTTTTAATTTTTTTTCCATGTCTGTTATCAGTACTGTGTCATCTGTGTATCTTATGTTAAGATTGTGGTTGCTAATGATGAATCCTGGTAGGATTTCCAATTCTCTCAGAATTGCCTCGCTGTATAGGTTGGATACGTGAGAAAACACATCCTTGTCACTTTCTATTTTTGTATATCCACTGAACTCATTTTCTATGCACATGCATGCTGTTTGCTGCCAATATAGGTTCTTGATTATTTTAATATATTCCCGAGTATATCAAGGTTGCTGAGCAGTGCTAACAGATCCTTGTTGGGTACTTTGTCAAACGTCTTTGTGTATTCTATAAAACATAGGTAAATGTCCTTCTGCATTTGTATTGCTCTTTCTGATAATATTCTGAGCATGAATATTGCATTCCAGTGTCTTTAACGAACCTGCACCGTTCTTGTCCTATATCTGGCCTGATTCTGATGCATGCTCTATTCATCAGAATATGGATGATGAGTTTTGTTACATGGCTGATTAGGCTGATTGTTTGGTGGAGTTCACATTCGTTTGCACCTGGTTTCTTAGGCAGTGCTATGAAAATAGGTCTGCTGAGGATATCCCAACTGTTGTAGATTTCATTTATTATTTCTGTGATCTAATCTATGCCAAAGTCATCTAAGGCTGTCAGCATTTCTGTTGCAATTCCGTCTGGCCCTGTTGCCTTGTTTTTGTTCAATTTGGCCAGTGCAGCTTCTACTTCGATTTTTAGAATTTCAGGTCCATTGGGCTGTGGACAGTGTATTGCTGGTTGCTCTCTTGTCGTGGAAGAGTTCTCCAGCATTGAAGAATTTTTCCTTCTTTAATATGAAGGTTCCATCCTTTGATTTTAAGCTGCCTGTTGATGAGCATGTCTTCTGTCCTTTTAGTTACCTTATTTAAATTTTGTTGGTGGTACTCAATCTCTCTATTTCTGCACATTTTTTTGTTTAGCCACTCTTCTGTATTGAATACTGGCTGTTAACAACTACCTTCAGGAACCTACTAGTTAGGAAGTACTTTATAACTGAGAAGATGCTTCCAGTGATGCCATAGCTAGAGAGCATGTGCAACACCTTGTCAAAAGCCTTTGAAATAATGCAGTTATCCCTGAGATGAATTTATAGTTTAGTGCCACATTGATTCTGTATGTAATGCCAGGATATCAGCAGTGGATCAAGCCAATCAAAATCCATACTGCTTGTCACTCAAGAGGTTGTTCCTATTGAGGTGATCAATAACATTCTTTTTGATTATAACCTCAAAAAGTTTAGTATAATAGTCATAATCAAGGTATAAGCACAAATTACTTACATCTTCTCGCAACTCTGTTCCTCGCTGCTTCATCAAATTGCTTAGCATCACACAAGAACCTGAGGAACTGTGAGAGAGAGGATCAACCAAACCCTCTTCTAGCACTTCTAGAAATGGCATCAATTGATTTCGGGGTAATTTTTTAGCAACAACCTGGAAAGAAGAGATTAGATGATGCAGTGAGAATTATTAGATTTTATCAATTATTATACTGGTTATCTATTACAAAGATTTCTTTTTGAATAACCCTCTATATGTGAGTATTGGAATGTCAAAAATGTAATGAACAAGACTAATACTTGCACATAAGGAAAGAAAGTCAAGTGTGATTAAAATTTTAGTAAAAAGTAATTCAAATTCAGTAAATGATATTCAAAGAGTCTTATGAGAATATGGGGATGTATAAAAAGTTCTCAAATCAATTAACTTTCCAAAAATCAGTATTTGGGGAAGTGGATTAGGCCAAGAATTCTTCATCACTTTCATTTATGTATTTTTGTGTGTAAGTGAGTGTACTTGCACACACAAATACACACACACTACAAATAAATATACATTTGTTCCTCAGTGTTCAATGAATTTAATGCACATAGCAATCGTCAGGTATAGATTAAAAACTAATACCTAAATATTTACGTTATTCGGACTATTGTCCTTATCTTTGTCACCATATGGCAACAAAGATGAGGACAATAGTCCAAATAATGTAAATAGTGTACATAATACCTCATCTCAGAAATATAGACAGATACTAATACCCCAATATTTATAGTTTACTGGCAAGGTAGTGAAACAGTCCATTTTATATATGTGAAAAATTAAATTAGTAAAAAAAAAAAAAAAATGGATTAAAAATTACACACACATACACACATTATATAATGGACAGCTACTTGTGGCGAGACAGTCCCAGTTGCAGATGCCTGCTTATGCACATTTTGTGTTTGTTCAACACCCACTGAGTCCACTCTATGGTCTACACTGCAACTATGCTGAGCAGATCTTAGTTATAGTTTCTGGGAGAGAGTGCATAATCTGGTGTGATCAAATATTTGAACAAAGCCAGTATGCTGAAACTCTTTGTCACAATGTCTTGTGACTATTTTTTTTTTTATAATAATGTTCAGCTGGTATAAGGCGTAGGAGCCACTCGAAGTAGAGCATTACAGAGTAAGAGGTAAGAGGCACAGTTTATAAAGATATGTAGAGAAGATAATGGTTTGTGCTAGCACAATCATCAACAACCTCTGAACATTTTGTTCTATCCAATTTCACTCACAAGGTTTGCGTTAACCAGTGGCATGGTTTTCAGTCACTTCCCAAAGATTCTGCAAGTTGGAAAACACACACACACACATGCGCAGACACAGATAAATTGATATGTCCACAGGCTAATAATGAGGGTGGGATTATTTGATATAACATTTATTTCTTTACATAATCTCTTTTTTTATTATTAATCACATGGGGTGAACATAATTTCAGATCAAAATTCATCTCATAACTGCCAGTTTGCATGCATGTGACTATTTACGAGATATAAATAAAAAAAAAACTTAAACCATATTTACTTTTGAGAGGTCTACAGCAACAACAAACAAAACACTTGTGTCGGATTTTACAACCCTTTCATGGAGAGTAGGGAATGCATTTAACATGGTATCTTTGGTAACATCACCACCTGGAAAAAAAAAAAGGTAATGTCCTTTTAATCTCATATTTTCTATTAAAATGACATTATCAACATTAGTAGTAATTAATGGTTGTAAAAAAAAGAAAATAAAAAAAGAAAAACAAAAGTAAACCCATTCATACACATGTATGATAATGAGCATCACCAATCAGCTCAAATGGAATTTCACGTACCTTCAATAAAAGTTCTATAATAAACTCATGAAGCATACCTACAGAACACAGCATAGGCTGCACTAGGGATACTTTTGTCCTACACCATAAGGTGCTACAAAATATTAACCTGAAAACTAGTCAGGTTCTTAAAAAACCTTCTCAGATCTAGACTTTCATATGCATATTACACATTACATCCAATGCTTTCAAAAATGTCTAAACTATCATTTGTATGCAATCATTTTCTCAGATCAATGATTAAAAATGGCTTCAAACAAATCTTTTGAATCTTAAAGAAGAAAAGCCTTTGTCAAAATGTTGCTACTAAACCACAAAGAGATATAACAAATATCAAAAACCACATCAATGAATATTTTCAACAGTAGCAAAAACAAAAATAGGTAATGGGACACTGATTGAGACTCCCACATTGAAGAGGATGGTGTCAGATTTTATCTCAGTCCCAAGTGTTTCATATTTTATGACCAGTGTTAGGTCAGAGATATGGTCTTCAACGCAGTCACCCACTTGACTGAAAAGGAATAAAAGAATAAATAAATTAAAACTTTTGGGAACAAGTGACAATGAAACTGGACATTGAGGATATTAACAGTCACGGTTGGGATTAAGGTGATTGAATTCTGGACCACTCTGTAATGGAGACAGAGTGACCCTCTGGATAGTTACCCTTTACAGTTACTAGCCATGCATTGTGATGTTTAGATGGGCAATGAGTGGGTAGTAGAAAGAATTGAAGGAAAGAGCTGATCTGTTAGTCAGACATGGTAGTTGTCCCAAATGTCATCTATCTACCCACTCAGACTGTACAAGTGAATCCCTGAATAAAACACCTAAATATATTTGAAACAGGGTTCAAGTCCTCATTTGTTGTCACAGTATTTATTTTCACCTTTCACTTCCTTCCAATGCTCACTGATATGAACAATAGAGAATGTGTCTGGTTAGTGAAAAGTTGTGTGAGAGATCAGTTGTATGTTTACATGTAAACTAGAAGAGGAAATAATAATATAATGAATCTGTTAACTTTCCACACAACTAAAAATAAAAAAAGCTGGAAAGAAGATTCTAAACATTAGAAACAGCTAGAACATTTAGTGGACTTAAGTTTAAGATTTATCAATTTTAATCAACAATAACACTAACTGTTCAGTCAATGAATGATGAATGTTTCTTGTATGGAAATTACTAATTTAACCATTACCACCTAGATGTGCAATCATTTTTTTGGTTTGTACTTACCACTGATAGTCATTGCAATTTCTAAAAGGTTTTGTACAGAATGAAGGGCTTCTTTGCGTACATTGGTAGAAGGATCTGAACAACGAGGAATCATATTTGCTAATAGTACTCCAAAGTTGAAAAATTCAATCTGTTAAAAAAGTAAAAAAGATTATATCCATATATGATATAAAATGTAACATAAAAAAATTCTTAGCATTTACATGAAAAAAGAATCATGTATGACAGAAAAAAAACAAAAAAAGATAAGGCAATCCCCCCATATTTACTAATATATATATTTACTAATATATATATATATATATATATATATATATAAATAAAATGTGTATGTGTGCTCAAGATAGATCCTTGAAACCATGAGAAGAAATTAAAGCTCAAATGGTTGATATAAGTCTAACTAGTTTCTTTCTGCTACAAGTGGCATTACCTCAAATTAAGCTGAAAACAGTTTCCGTGCTTTATATTATATAGACGTGTGTGTGTGTGTGTGTGTGTGTATTAAGTTGGCAGCCTAGTGGTTAAAAAAAATGAGAAAATATTTTTCAATGTAATCTTCTTTCATTGTCAATGCACTTAATTCATTCTTGAAGTGTTGAATGTTAATGGAGATTAAACTTTATACAGTGAAATTTCAGTAACACTTCAGCTAATAACTACATATCAGGTGTGTGTGTGTCTATAACAAGATAAAAAACACACCATTAAATTATTCTTCACAACAACCACAGACTAGAGGAAAAATAATTGTAACAAATCCTAATACATATATTTCAAGTTTGAGATTTAAACCTCTTTCCTCAGATGATGGTAATGGTCATTTGTGTGTTTACCTCAAATTAATTAAACTTAAAGTTGACTAGTCCACAACCCTCAGATAGAAATATATTGTTATTATATAATAGAGAAGAGAGAAATAGAAAAGAAAGGAACAAAAGCACTAACATACCTCACTTTGAAGAGTTATATTCTCCTTGAAAAACTGCAACAAAAGTAACCATGTCTGTAAAGCCCTTTCTCTCTGGAAATCATTGGAGGACATAATCCAAACTTTGAGATGCTGCAAATAAAGCATTAAAACTAAACATTGAGAAATATATATATAAGTTGACGTCCTTATTTGTACATGAATTTTAAGCTTAACAAACAAAAGAATTCATATTATCATTCAAGCATCAATCTTTCAATCTGCTCAATATATAATACTGGAGATAAAATTTTAGAATCTTCACTTTTTCTTGAATTTTCTTTTCAAAATTAGTGGGAGCATTATGCATGGGAACAATTTTCATGCAAAGACAGATCAAATACCATTACATACAATTTCATTTTTATAAGAAACTACTCTACTGACAAATAGACATTAAAAAATTATATAGACAAACATACACACAGTGGGTGCGATGGATAAATTGTCTAAATTATGCAAAAATGAAAATAATACTGACATCTCATTTTAACAGATATATTTACCAAAATTACACAAAAATATCTTGAAATACTAAAGGGTTAATTTATTCAATAAAAATTGCCACTGCCTTCAACCCTGTCCTCCAGACAATCTTCGGAATCTCTTGCAACTCTTCTGAATGGTCACTATGTTTAAGTTAGTGAATGCTCCATAATCCTTGCCTTCAGTTCATCTTTAATGTTACAAGGACTTTTGTTGGTCTCTTGCTCAACTCAACCCCACACGTAATAATAAAGAGGGTTGCAGTCTGGGGAGTTAGGTGGTCAGATGCAAGAGGTGATGTGGTCGCAGAAATTGTTTGACAGTCATGATTGGGTTATCCTGCTTGTGTGGCATGGTGCATAGTCCTGTTGCCAGACATAGGGTCTTCCAGCAGCCACCCTCTTGACCAAAGGCAGCATTGCATCTTCAAGACACTTGATGTAAGCCTCCATGAGGATCTCACAACAAATTCGGGAGTTCTTTTCTTATCAGAACAATCAGAGTAAGTTTTCTGAGGTGTTTCTAAATCCTCTGCACTGTTCTCAGATTGACACCCAAACACTCTGAAATGTTTGTATCGGAGCTTCCAGCACAAATACCAAGCAGTACAGCATGTGGTTTCCAAATTTCTGTGAGTGAATTGTATCTGCTCTTTTTCTCACAGATGGTGCCCAACTGAACCTACTATATTGTGCAGTTGACAAAAAAAACAAAAACACAAACAATGCATGTGCACAAAATTAAAAATATAAAATGCTGACAATTTACCCATCACACCCTGTATGAGAGGCATTCCAGAAGTTTTGAGACTTTTTTAAGAGAGGTAGTTGTAATTGTCCAAGATTATTGTAATTTTAGTATATCATTACTATACTAATATACTAATAAGCTGACCTGCCAAATATTCCCGACTGATGGAGATAGCTGTAACAGCTCTTTGAACATTACCCTACCAAAACAATGCTTGTCACACCGAACTAGTTTACAGAATACAGTTGGGACATGAAAACAATTTGGATGCTTGCTATGTAATAAAGTTGTGTGCTGACAGAGCTGGACATCAAAACTCTCCCTCACCATCTCTACAGTCGAAACCTTGTTTCCTGTAACTTTACATTGTTTCCCAAGCTGAAGGAGAACCTAAGGGGCAGTTTTGAAGACAATGAGTAGATGAAGAAGGCTGTGACAATGGCCCTGGACACTTTCACTTTGGATGACTTTCATGGGGCCTTCACAAAGTGGTTGGAGTGCTACTACAAGTGCATTTAAGTCAGATGGTCCTTTCTTGGGAGGAGATTAGACTTTTGTACTTCTTTGAAATTAATAAATGTCTCTTCTGAGAAGGACCCAAAACTTCTGGAATGTACCTTGCATAGAAAAAATAATTTTAACCATTTAAGCACTAGTTTATTAATAACAAAGCAGAGACACAAGTGTACATGTGCATGCATGTACATATATGCAAGTGTGTATACCTATATATGTACATGCATATATGTGCATATGCACAAGCATATAAATACAGGCATACACACATAAATTCAAACAATAATAAATAAAAACTTAATTATAAACCTCCTATAATTAATACTTAAGATACCACCAAACAAAATAAGAAAATGAAATAATAACCAAGTGAAGGCATATAAAAATATTTATCATTTAAGCATTAATATCAATTATTCATGTAAAAATGAAATACAATTTTCCTAACTCAAGACTAGAATGCTCAAAAATACAATAACGATAGAGGATTAAATGAAAATAAATAGCAACAAATAGCTACAATTGAAAGAAAAGAGGAAAAGGAACAAAAAAAAGAGAAAAGCAGAGGAGTGAATGTAAAGTAGAGAAAAAAAAGAAAAAGGACAAATAATCAGGACACCCTACATGTATGCACATTTCCGCAGACAGGCACATGCATGAAAATGCACATTCATACAGACAGGTGCATGGCCTTACACAAGCAAATTCACACAATAGGGAAAAAATTTACACCAATGACCAGTGCATAAAAAAGCAAAATCTAAAAATATAAGCAATTAATTGCTGATACCCCTGAAGAGTGGATGGATGGGTAAAAACCAATCAGTTAAGTGACAAAATTTTACTTGTATTAATTATATATATATATATATATATATATATATATATATATATATATATATATAAAAGCAATTTACAAAATATGTATGGAAAACAAATCTCACCTTGAAGATACTGTCAAGTCCTTTGGCTGTCAGGTTTTTAAAAAGTACTGCCTTCAGAAGGTCATTCATAGCATCAATTGTGATTTTTAAAAACTGACCAGCTTCCACAACTTCTTCATATGTCTCTTCTTTGCCTTTTCGTGGAGCACAACCATCTTGAGGAAGACACAAAATGGAACTCGTGACTGTTTCTACTAAATCATGTGTGTCTCCCTCATTCAGTTTAGGATCAAGTTTTCTGCATTTCAGATATTAAGGAAAATTATAAAAACAAAAAACTTTCTTAAATAAAATTTTCATTCTATAATTTTATATAACACAATCACAGATTCTTTTTTCTAATAAGTAAAATTAAAGAAGTCACTCAGAAAGAATAAGTAAAACCACTTCTCAAATATATCAGATTAGAAAATAAAGGCAAGTTTCAAATATTATCTAATAAAAATAGTTGTATATTTGAATTGTCTGTTTATCAAAATGGCTGCACTGTACATAGCTGTTACTTTATCAACACACTGACTGCAAAACAGCAGATAACTTAGGCTTAACAGTTTTCATTATGATGCTGACTGAGTTTATTTGTGCTTGGCATTTCCGATAAATTTTCATCTGCTGGCACCAACAAAACATTTCTCACATAGAATTTTTTTTTTTTAAATTATATAAACCCTGTACGAGGCCCAAGAGCCACTCAATGTAGAGGGTTACAGAGTAAGAGGAAAAAGGCACTGTTTATAGGGATATGTGGGGAAAATAACAGTTAACACTAGAAAATTAAAAAGAAAAATTATAAACGCATTAACCATTTGAAAGGGAAAAAATTAAGTCTTACTTGTTGTTAGTTCCAATCTATTGGGACAGTATATTTATCTGGCCTTTCCACTAAGGCAGGATGTGACACAAGGTATTTTTAATGTGGGAAGCACTGTACACATATGTATGCATATAGACCAAGGACAAAAATTGTTGTTTTGTTCATCCATTGTAACCACTGTCATGCTGGCATTGATATTACACTGACCCCCACCTTTCTAACTGCAATGAAGAAGGTGCTGCAGTAGGGTTTGAATATGCAGGGCAGAGCAAATTCTCTAATCTAAATTAGGGAGAAATATAGCTCCACTTACAGCATATTTGCAATAACTACCCCTCAGAAAATCCTCATTGGCTGATGGTTAACCCATTACCAGGTTTGGGAAGAACTGCTAAAAAGATTATTTCCCAAAATTTATAAACAAATTGTACAGATGCATACTGGGATTTCTTGCTAACCAATTAAAATAAGACAATTCTATTTTTGTTCTTTCTTGTCTTGAAGTCAAAACACTACAATCACTTGACTGTATCTCTTTTGCATGTGAACACCATTCTTATTTTGTGAACTTTTACCGTTTTACTGTTGCTTTGCCTACTTTTGATATGCATATATATTGTTTGCTTAATAATGTTTTGCCCTGTTCTTTTTCTTTTCTTATTGGAAACTTTGTCAATTCTATTTGTTGAGCATTTTTGCTAATTACACTTAACCATGGCCAATTACTACACACTTGTAGATCAGTGTATAGATTAATTGTTCTATAAAATTTAATTGGTCTACCATGTTTAAGATGTTAAAAGGATACACAAGTGTTGTGGCAGCATTCAGTGCAATTGCTCTTGTATCATTCATTATCCACTCTTTGCTTTCTGCTTTAATGTACAGCTACAAAAAGAAGAAAAAAATTATGATAATTTTTAATGAAGAAAATATTTATCAACCTCTTTAATTGCTGGAGAATATATTTACATGTAAATGTGGAAAAGTGTATGAGGGCCAAAACCAGTGATCTCAATATGAGACACCAGGAACATAATATAAGAGGAAAAAGGTATCCAGTCTTATTCCACTTAGTCAAAGTCAAGTGCAATTTAGACATGATATTAAGGTGACCAAAAGTTAAGAGTAGACAATAACATTAAAAAAAGAATAAAACTTATGAAATATTTTCAAATAATTATTAACAATCATTTAAAAAATAAAAATCAAAAAAATCTTATAACTTTCATGGTTATCAGGGGTCAAAGTGGATGAACCAATGATTAAAAAAAAACTAAAAAAAAACTTAAGGGTCAAAGTGGATCAACTAATGATAAAAAATTAGGGGTCAAAGTGGATCAACTAATGATAAAAAATTAGGGGTCAAAGCAGATCAACTAATGATAAAAAAAAAACTTACAAGTCAAAGTGGATCATCCAATTATAAAAAACTATGGAGAAAAACTAGTAATAAAATAATATGAATAATGAAAAACAAAACACTAATAATTATGTTTAGGAGGTGCTGAAATGTTCTTATTTTGCAAAAATCAGTATTTCAATAACTGGACCTCAGAATTTTGGGAAGAAGAGTTAAAGATTTCCAAATTATTTTTATTATTTGTGTGTAAATGAATATAACGAATCCAATGGGAACTAGAACTCAGCTCTCTGATTAACAATTCCGAGCCACTATCCATTTCACCACCTGTACAGTCAAGCTTACAACACCTGGTATTCCTCAGTAGTCACCCATCTAGGTATTGACCAGGTTTGATGTTGCTTAACTTCAGTGATCATATGGGAACTGATGTTTCAATGATATATGGCCATAAGATCTAATGTACAAAGAAGAATAGTTGAAAGGTTCTTGGCTCAATCCCCCCACCACAGACAAAAAAAAAAAAAAAAAAAAAAAAATCACTACTTCAGTGGCCAAACATGAAACTAATTTTGGAAAGTTTGTTTTCAGTACATTCTTCATAAGTAAGCTATTAAAAAATCTTGAAGACTATACAATTATATTCATACTCTTTGTAAAAATGTAAACTTTTAATTTATTCTGTAAACATTTACATACATTAATGAATGCTTGGATTAGAGTTTAAAATAAAATAATAAAATCTTGTAATGTGATCCCTTTATAACTTGAATTAGGACTTATATATTTTTACCTTTACTAAAAGAGGCTGGTACAAGAAAAATCAAAATTGTTAAGGATGATTCTGTATCATTTAATAATTAAACATGTAAGTAAAAGCTTTTTACCTGCATGTGCCCAAGGATGTCACCTCTGCTCATGAGTTTGTATTGGAACTTGAGCCGCTCAGGATGCAGTGCTTTGCCAATTAATTCTGTAGTCATTATCATACTTTGCTTTACACTAGAATCCTACAAGAGAAAACAAAAAAAATAAATGTGCAAAGTTTAACAAACCTACCTTAACAAAAAAACTGTCAAAAAGATGATTTTCCTTTTGACACAACTATTACTGTATACTCCCTCTGCAAATTTAATTGTTCAAACACTTTTTAAATTCATTAAAAAAAAAAAAATTGTGTTCTTAGTTATTACTTTATAATATGGTAAGTAATAAATATTGTATTGTAGGTGGTTCACATATTTTATAATCTTGTAAGTATAAAATTATTCTTGTAAATAAACAATCTAAATAATGTTTACATCTTTTGTTGTCAATTCTTGAGAAAAAAAGAGAATAGGGAAAAAACAGTTCAGTTGTTTGAAAAAAGTCTTGTAGTGATAATTTCTTAAAATTATAAACATTTTCCAAATCTTCTTAACAAAAAGTCACAAACTCTCAAAACAAGTGGGCACAAGAAAAAGTAAACTGAGTTTTTCTTACCTTAGGGTTGGTGAAGTGGGGGTAAATTGCCTTTAAAATTGTAGATTCCAGTCGTGATACAATAAGTGTATTTGGGGAAAACAAAGTCACATATCCATAACATAGCATAAGTGTTGCTTTCACTTTTTCAACATCAACCTCATTCTTATCCTAAAATAGAAAACAAGAAATGAATAGTAAATTATAAGAGTTTTTTCCAAACATAAATAAAACAATTAAGAGGAATTAGAACAATGCACTTAGAAAAAAAGTAGATAATAGAAATGCACAAAATGCTTCAAATGGCAATTGATTATCATAAAAATGTGTAACAATTAAACTATCAATTCATTCTATAAGGTAAAGGGGTTTATTCAGTTCTATTTGTTTGTATAAAAATTAGCTCTACTTCAGGAAAAGCAATAAAGATTAAAATCATTTAAAGGGAACAGTTGCAGCAAAGAGTTTAAAAATATTGAAGTGATGAATCTTTTTACCACAAATAGTTTCTAGGACAAATTATTATCTCAAATTTTCTACTTTAAGTATAATCATTAAAAAAAATAAAATCTAACAAATTTTGTGCTATATAATTTCATGCATGCAACAACTTTCACAGATCAATGATTCACAATGGCTTGTCAGATATTCTCTCAAACATTACAATACACCATCATCTTGTAGATGATAGACAGTGAAGACAAAGAACAAACTATGAAGTGCTTCTGTGTTCCAAACCAAATTTTACTTTCCACATTTTTAACTTGAACTATTTTATAAATATTTCTTTAATTTAGTCATTTTTTGTAATTTTGTTCACTGACATTATAATGCTGAATTTATAACTATTTTCAACCTTTATTTATTTTCCTCAGAAATACATTGTACTAAAATTTGATGTAGGCATATGGATTTGAGACTAAATTAAATTATAAATAAAAAACTTACAATGTTAAGTCTGATTTGAATATATATATATATATATATATATAGAGACACAACACCACAAATTGAATAAGTGAAGTGTTTTCATCATGTTGCCCTTGTTTATAGTTTGTCTTCACTGTCTATCGTTCACAGCATGTAATGTTTGACAGAAGAATATTGACTAACAAGATTGATGATATCCTCTCTGATCTATCCTCGGCTACAATTCATATTTGTGGTGATGTCAATATTTACCATAAGGAATGAGGGGTGTGTAGAGGTTTCATGGTTAGCAGCATGAAAAATGGAACTGGTAAATCAAATTCAAATTCTGGCTGTGGCTTGCAGGGAAGAGATTGGCTGAACAAGAATGTAAGCAAATTACTCTCCCATAGCAATCTTCACATTCTGAGCAAAGAGTGAAAAAAAACTGTTACACCCATTATCAACCATGAAAGGGATGAATTACATGAACTAAGCAAGTAATTTTTTTTGTAAACTACCATATCCCTTCAGGATATAGATGATCATGGCTCTCCACAAACTCCTTTTCTTTATTATCTGGAACTGCTATCACATCTTGGGGAAAAATAGTGAAGTGGTTTTCAATTGTGCTCTCCACAGTTCAGAATTTACAATTTTCTTTCACCTAAGTCTAGAGAGTTCAGTCTACCTTACTATTTCACCCATGGCTGGAAGAGAAGAAACAAATTCATGCTTTTCCCAGGGACATTAGTATGAAAGTGAATGCAACTGACTAGGCTAGAATTTGAACTTGACTTGCTGACTCCACTTTCCACACTGATATCCATAACACATCTATCAGAATATTAATGACAAATAAAGTAAATAAAAAAAAAAGTAAATAACAATACAATACTCACTCTCATGAATCCCAGCAACCCTGATGATTTGCGAACCATATCATGTTTGGCTACAGCATCAAGTTTACTGAGAACAGAGTCCAAATGGGAGGCTGAAGCAAATCCCATGCAAATGGCACAGCCCTGGATCAGAATGAAAATAGTATTTTAGGATTGATTTCAAGATAACAAGAACTCATCTTAAGTGGTTCTGTAGTAATATTAATAATAATGGGAAGGTCTACCATGTCGTCACCATTGCAGTTACTACAGGATATTTCTGCCTTTTTATCTCTATACTTAAATACAAACTACTAGGTCAGAATAAAATTTCATAAGATTTTTAAAGTAATTTCAAAGACGATATTCAAAGATCTGTATACAGATTTATTCATTCATATATGTGCCATTTTGTTCCACTATATTTTGCCATCTTTAAGGCAGTTTCATGATTCCATCCTCCCAGAATTTGACATTCTTCTTAATGATGAACAGTTATAACTGGTTTTTACATATTTCCAAAGAACTGAAGGTCTTCCCATTAAGAGATTTTTGTAGAGAAGTAGGGATCAAAGAAAGTGGTAATTCAAAGGTTAGGTGAGTACCGAGTCTGTAGTAGCACATCTCAGCCAAGCTGTACCAATTTCTGCTGAGTATGGGTCTGCAAATTTTTACTTCTGAACCTTGTGAACCACTTACAAACTTATCTCAGCTATGGCACAATCTCCATAAATGGCACATATCATTTTTGCTGTTTGTACATCAAATGGCAAAAATGCATCTCATGTTTGTTTAATGGCATATAAACTCCTTATGGGTCATTTAATGCTGAAATTTAATTTTCTTGGGAGCTTTAGTAAATATTTTTTTACTATTAAAATCTATTGCTGGAATTTTTTACTCTAAAAATGTATTTTTATACTTTCATAGTGTTTTGACCTCAGTTTGGGAGTTCACTATTTGCTTATAGCTTGGACTCTAACAGATGCTACCACCACAGGTCAAGGTGAACCTTGGAACAACAGCAATTAAGAGGTGGTTCCACACTCCTCAAAACTTTCAATCTCCCAATCAGAGGCCTTGCTGCCAGATGTAAGTTTATTGTCATACCCAGGACTTCACATGTTCCTCCATTTTCACTTTTAACATAAAAACAATCGAAATTCACAATCCACACATGAAATATATAGAAAGATACATTGAAAGGTCCCCTTTCAGAAGGTGCATATTTAATGAATGTCAGTTATGTGTGAAATGCAATCACATATTCAAATGCTATCTATTGCAAAATGTTACAAACATTTGTTCCAACCGAATAATATATAAGAACATATATGTAAATATCTATAGTAAAAACGTTTCTTACCTCTCGTTCTAGTTTCTCGGAATGTTTAACTGTTGAAAATATGAGATCTAAATGTTTAGAAATGAATTCCTTCTTTGTAGAGTTCCTTAAAATGACTCCTATACACTTGTAGAGAAAATTCTGAAAGCAAAATAAATATAAATAAATAAAAAGCTCACTCTTTGTGAAGTAAGACATTATCAATAATCCTATTTTATACATTCTAACATCATCTAAAGAAGTAGAAAATTAATTTTTTTTCTTTGTACTTCTTCATAAGCAGTTTAAATTGTCTCTGCAATAATTTCTGAAAATAGCCCAATGTGACCATACAATTATGACTGAAAGAGTATGAACTGACATGAGTTATCTCCCCCTAACTGATACGAGTCATCTCCCCTAAACATGAGAGAACAGAATGAGAACAATCTGCTTATATGGATTGAATAGCGGTTCAAAATTCTGAGAAAGTTATTGAGGATGAGAGAAAACCTGAAGAAAGCTAGAATGTATAATAGCTGAAATGTTTTAAGTATAAAAACGAAGTTTCTTAGTTTGAATCTAAGAGTATATGTTAATGATATATTCTATCATTCAGTACCAAACTTATTGAAGATATGTGTGTGTGTGTGTGTGTGTGTGTGTGTGTGTGTGTGTGTGTGTGTGTGTGTGCGCTTGCAGAGTGTATAATAGTGTCCAAAACAAAAGTGAAAATGGTGAGACAAAGTTAAAAAATTTCTAATCAAAGACACGTTTCAACTGATGACACCAACAAGAACAGAAGCTAATCTTTTCCCTGGCAAAATGTGTCTGATTTCTAATATTTCTCCCTATGGTTGGTTGGAACTCCATTGACAATCCCTTTTCATACTGATTGGTCTTGTATTGCTGTCCCCAGATCCCCAATGTACAACCCTGAGCTATAGTGTTTGGGAAAGTCACTTTTTGTGAGATGTCACTTCCAGAAGGATGCCATAGGAGCAAAGAAGAGATAACTTTCTTGGCAGTGGTTGGCAAACTGTAATTGTTTTTGTTTGAGCTTAGGAGGGAGGTTCAGTTCTCTGTAAATTGTCTTAAGCATTGCATGTGATCTCCAACTGATGTTCTAGATTTTTCTAAATAGATTTGTATATATTCCATCCAGTCTTCTTTCAAAATGAATGAATAATGTCAATTTTCTGATACATACAATAGGACTGGTTCAATCAATGTTTGAAAGATTTGGACTTTTAAGGAGAATGGAAGATTCGATTGCTCATAGGAAGCTAGCAAATCCCTATTGCAGACACCTATTCAAGCACATTTGTGTTTCTTCAACACTACCAGAATCAACTTGTGGTTTATACTGCAACTATGCTGAGCATATTTTAGTTACAGTTTCTGAGAAGAGAGAGTGGGGCATACACAATATGGTTGAACAAAGCCAGTAGACTCAAACCCTCAGTCATGACTCATGACATTGTGCTAGCACAGCCACCAATTTCTTCTGAGCAGTTTTGTCCACCCAATTTCCCTTTACAGAGTTTGGGTCATCTTCTCAGTAATGATTCATGCTAGGATTGTCTCCCAGGTGAATATTATCAAGAAGTCATCTCCCTGACAAATCTACAATAGTGGGATTTAAAACTCAGGTCTCATGGTCAGAAGGTTAACACTAAGCATTTGGACATGATTTCCAAAGAAACAGTTCAAAAGTAATTGGTGGTTGTGATAACATGAAGTCACAAGTTATCATAACTGGAGGTTTGAGTGAATGTATTGGCCTCGTTCAGCCATTGATTACTCTTGATTGCATGCTCTCAATATACTATAACTAAGGTTTACTAAGAAAAAAATAAAGATATATAACACATACAATTATATATATATATATATATATATATATATATAATTGTATGTGTTATATATCTTTATTTTTTTCTATATATATATATATATATATATATATATATATATATACACACACACACACACACACACAGAGGTAAAAATGAGAACAAATAGAGTTTAATTTCATTGTATGTAACATTTAAAAGAGGGCTCAATACAGAGTCGAGCTAAATATTATTTATTTTAGGATATTAAAACAAAACATGTTAAAAATCGCTACACAATTACCATCATGTTTCAACACTACAAATGTGTCTCCTTTTGATTATGTTTATAATTAGGTATTTTGGGGTTTATTTTTTGACTTAAGGACCAGAAGGGATGAATTCAGCCATAGTTACATTTTTGAATTAAAATCCTATAGAAAAAAAAATGTTGTCATTCCTTTAAAAGATCTCATCTAAATTAAAATTTAATACACATAATAAAAGATTTTTCTGAAATGATCATCTGAATTTTGTTGATTACTTTCAATGCCTGGAAAAATGTGATGATGTCTATAGAAGCATATAAGTGAAAACAATTTTTGCCAGAATTATGATTATAATAATATCTGAAAATGCCTTGCGTATTAAATCCTTAGAATGTAGTTAAATTATCTGAAACCTAACAGTTTGTAAGTAATAGTTTTTTAAAGATTCTAAAAAGTCTATATATTAAAAGTACAGTTCATTTATATTTACACTCATTCATTTGTCTACCTTACTTATATGTTGTTATTTCCAAAATTGTAACTGTTCTTCATCATAATATAATTCTGCTTGTTCTTCCATTAGTTTGTAAGTTAGCATGTGTGTTATACCCTGCCATTACTTCAGATAAATAATAAACCATTCTATTTTGATTACATGAAAAGATAAGAAAAAGCTATATCAGAGATGCTGTTTTGGTAAGAAAAGAAAGCATACATAAGAAAGAAAGAAAAAAAGAAAGAAAGAAAAAAAGAAAGAAAGAAAAAGAAAGAAAAAAAAGAAAGAAGAAAGAAGAAAGAAAGAAAGAAAAAAGAAAGAAAAAAAAGAAAGAAAAAGAAAGAAAGAAGAAAGAAAGAAAGAAAGAAAGAAAGAAAAAAGAAAAAGAAAAAGAAAAAAAAAAAAAAGAAAGAAAAAAAAAGAAAGAAAGAAAAAGAAAGAAAGAAGAAAAGAAAAGAAAGAAAGAAAGAAAAAAAAAAGAAAGAAAAAAAAAAAGAAAGAAAGAAAAAAAAGAAAAAAAAAGAAAGAAAGAAAAGAAAGAAAGAAAAGAAAGAAAGAAAAAGAAAGAAAGAAAAAAAGAAAGAAAGAAAAAGAAAGAAAGAAAAAAAGAAAGAAAGAAAAAAAGAAAGAAAGAAAAAAAAGAAAAAAAAAGAAAGAAAAAAAAAGAAAGAAAAAAAAAAAAGAAAGAAAAAAGAAAGAAAAAGAAAAAAAAAGAAAAAAAGAAAAAAAAAAGAAAGAAAAAAAAAAGAAAGAAAAAGACAGAAAAGAAAAAAGAAAAAGAAAGAAAAAAACAAAGAAAAAAAAAAGAAAGAAAAAAGAAAAAGACAAAGAAAAAAAGAAGAAAAAAAGAAAGAAAGAAAAAAGAAAGAAAAAAAAAGAAAAAAGGTAGAAAAAAAGAAGGAAAAAGAAAGAAAAAAGAAAGAAAGAAAGAAAAAAGAAAGGGAAGCTAGAGGATGCAATAATACTTTCATGTATTTAATGTCTGCTTCAGTGAAATGAAAAATTTTGTTGATTCTGAATCTTCATATGTACCCTCTTATTTCTTTAAATAATGACCTGCATTTATACTTAAGGTTATTATTGCAATATTTTGCTAAAGTTGTGAAGCTAAAATATTTAACAATGCAATAGGGAAGTTTTCACAGGTATTTTATAGTGGAACTCACAAGGAGTTTATTCACTCGTTAACTTAGGAATTATGATTAATCAGAAGATACAAATTCTACTAGTATATTACTTTTTATAGAATTTCAGTGATCTTTATTGATCAAGTTTTTAATCAATTATACAAATGAAAAACAAAGATTCCTCTCCAAAACAATAATTTATTGTATTTAATAAAAAAAAAAAAAAATACCTTTTCAGCTGGCATTGAGTTATACAATGCAATTTGTTGACCAAAAGCTTCTCCTAAATTTTCTGTCCACTCCTCATTTTGGATAATGTCTAATGACTTGGATAACATCTAAAAAATAATATTTACCATAAAGATTCATGCCAATAAACAGATACTGCATATAATGTATTTATTAGATGAGAAATATTCATGAGATATAATTATAAGAATATAACCTATTGGCTGTTCAGAAAGTAATGTTGCATTTTTGGTGAGAGAGAATATAAACATGCTGAAATATAACAAAGTTTTAATTTAATTAGGAAGAACATAATCATTACAGGCAATGACAAAATCCCATTGTGAAACTAGTTCTCTTATTTCTTGTTGGAAGGATCTTGGATTCTGGATGAAAATCAAATCAAAAGTTCCAACCAACCCTGTAGGAGAATGGTGAGCAGTCAATAAAATTGAGTAAGTTTTTTTTCTATTATCATATAGCATAACACAATGACAGCAAATCTTCATTGTCATAGAGTCAAGACAGGCAAAATATCACCTGATCTGGTCAACAGAAAGTATTCAGAATGATGCAAGCCCACACTAAATAAACTCAATTGAAGCTCAAATCATTAAGTTGGGAGGATCAACCTCAGCATTCCTAATCATGATTCAATATCATCAAAGACCCATTTAATCAGATAACTGGAAAACCTTTCTGGCAGCAAAATCTCTAAAACTATAGAAGAAATCAAGTGAATATTATTAGAAGTCTTTTAATTCAGAATAATACCTTCTTTCAAGAAATAAACAAACTTGTTTCATACTGAGCTTTTCTTATTGTTAATAATAGTAATACTATTCTTGACAACTATAATATTTGCTGTATTTTAATGATTTTATTCCATCTCCCAAAAGACATTACTTTCTGAACAACCTAATCTTTTGGCTTGTTTGATTGCATTTCTTTTATGAAAGTAAAAATACAATTTGATTCAAGATTAGAAACAGAAAATTTCTATTTATTTGTACTTTGCCTTTATGCTAGCTTGATGTCATTAATAGTTCATGTTGAATTAATAACACTGGCAAGGATGAGAAAAAATAAGAAGGAAAAGTCGGGTAGCTGTTAAACTTAAAACAGGAATAAAACTTAAGGAAAAGAAAATAATGAAACCAGAACAAAATACCTTCAGTAGGAGATCTTCCCAGTTCTTTTGGGGCCATTCCTCTTCAATTTCTGAATTTTCTAGAGAGAAAAAAGCTTAATTATAAATTTTAATCACACACACATAGATCCAAGTTGATTTAAATTCTTAAAATAATTCAAAATAAAAAAAAACATTTTCAGAGTTCTTCATCCCATTCACAATTTAAAATTATTAGAAATTGAAGCTATTAATAAATATTTACTGATAAAGCTCCAGAATGTCACTTTCTAGTGTCATAACAATAGCAAAATGATGCAATATGATTGAAACAAGAGTTTCAAGTCATAGCTCCAAGTGTGTTTAATAAGGTGGCAAACCAATCCCTGTTGCAGACACCTGCTCAGGCATATTTATGCTTCTTCCACACCTACAGAGCCCACCTGTGGCTTATACTGCAACTATACTGAGTGGATCTTAGTTACAGATTCTAAAAGAGAGTGCATAATCTGGTGTGATCAGTAGTTGAACAAGGCCAGCACACTCAAAAACTCAGTCACAATGACTTGTGTCTTGGAGTTAGCACAACTACTGACAGTTTCTGAAAATGAATGTGCAGCTGAGTAGTTAGAATGTTAGTACGTATTTATCTGTTCCATATGCAAATCAATATGAGCCACTGTAACAACGTCAAAATTAGGTTTCTTATTTAAAAGTCATTAATATATTGGATTTTGCTTTTTAGCATAACTGAGGTTGTAAAGAAAGAAAATAAGATAAAACTATTTTAATTTACAATATGTAACAAAAATGGATGAAAAGGCTATGAAAATCAATTTAAAAAATATATAATACCAGACTATAAAGAATTGAGGCATTTGATAACTATATATATATATATATATATATATATATATATATATATAGATAGATAGATAGATAGATAGATAGATAGAGATATATTTTATCCATAGAAAAAAAATGTGTGAAAAAGTTTCAGGGAACTGATAAAAATAAACTGTTGAAAATTCTTTATTATGAAGTTTTCACTGACAATATTTTCATAAAGCCTTAAGTTGATTGCTTTTAGCAAAATTTTAAAAATAAAAATTTTGTCTGAAAGAATTCAGGCACAATTATCATTAAGTCTAATCTGTGTCAAAAATAGTTACCCCCATATGACGGACTTCAAACACACAATGTCAAATGAGCCCTAAATAATTTTATCCATGTCTGAAGTGTGGTGTGGTTTTATGTCCAATAGTAAAATCTATGAAATAAGATCTTCAAAGCAGCCATCCACTTGACCAAAAAAGGATAAAATAATAAATAAAAAAATTTGGGATCAAGTGCTACTTGGTCAGAAGTTACAAGGTTCCATTTGCAGGATTATACAGGATGTAGCAGAAGTACCTCCCACATAATGGTAAGACATTGGCTAGATGGAGACTCCATTGCCACTAATGTCTTACCATTATGTGGGAGGTAGTTTATACAGGATGCAACAGAAATAATTCATAATTAGAGTGGGAGGAAAGAGGAGTCATCCATTCAAGCAGTCATGTTAGTAACAGTCACTTGACAGAAGAAAGAAGTGTCAAAAGAGACCAGAGTACCAAACTTCTTACTCAAGTAGAGAGTGTTAGGTCAGACTTGAACTCAGACATTGAATTATTAAAAACAGGATTTGTATTTTCATTTCTCATTGTGGCATTAATTTCACCTTGTTTCCTTGTGAATGTACAGCAAACATGGACAAATGTGCCCATGAGACAGAGTGTCAAAAGGACACTTCTTCCTATGACACCTTTTTAACCACCTTCACTATTTGGCAATGTTTCCTTTTTTTTTTAAAGTGATGATTAGAATTGGAATAAAACCTAAACATGATAAAAGTAAATTTATCATTTTTTTTTTGTTCTTGAGAATTGACAATAAAAATATTAAACACTATTTGTTTATTCTTTAGATTATTTATTTACAGGAATAAAATTTTTATTTACAATATTCTAAAAACTAATACAGTTAAAGCTAATGCAATAGTTATCATTTACTAATTTATAAAGAAATAAATATGAAAACAATTTTTATTCATAAATTTATAAACATCTACTTAATTAGTAAAATATGTGAACAAACTAAATCCTTATTTATCATTTCATAAAGTTTGAATCAACTGGCAATTAGCCAATGTGTTGCCAACCATTCCAATAAACAATATAATCGTGTAATAAACAATCTAATAGTGTTTATTATTTTTGTTGTCAATTCTCAAGAACAAAGAAAATGTATAAATTCACTTTCATATGTTTAGTTTTTATTCTAATTCTAATCATTGCTTTTTAAAATAAACATTGCCAAAGGGTGAAGGTGGTTAAAAAAGTAGTGTCATGTGAAAAAAAAATGTCCTTTTGACACTACATCTTATGTGCATGTTTGTTCATATTTACCCAATGTACAATGGGTCTTACCCAGTTTTTGTTCATACCAATGCAAACAAGAAGCAAAACATGACACAAGGTGATCTCTCCAGTTGGTGTATGGTTACAAACACATTTAGTGGGTATTGTTGCAAAATAGGATGGTGAGTATTAATGGCTATAGGTATAAACCTATAATTAATAACAGTTTTTATGGTGAGAATCAAAGTGGTTAATTTAGTGTCTACCACACCAAGTGCTTCAGTCCACAATCAATATTGGATATCTTTCAAGTTCTATACATGCATAAATATTATAAGAAATATTGTGTAAAATTAAATAATTTATGAAGATATATTACCTTCGATGTAAAGAACAAGTTTGGGTATAACAGTATCCCACAATTCCACTAAGCCACTGCAGAGGTTTTGTGTCATATTTTTCATAAAATTCAAAATGTATATCCCTCGTCCGCCATCACTGGTTGGATGACCTGATAACACCTGAAGTAGAAAATTTAAGTTTAAAATGAAAATGATTAAATAGAGGCTTTCAACACAGGATCAAAATCCATCAAAAAGATGAAATACACACACACACATATATATATATATATATATACTGACAGTCTTGGATTATTAACATTACATAGTATTGGATTAGTAAAAATAAAAAATAATTCTGTTACATGATATTGGGAATAGTTATTATATGTATGCAAAAGTTGACAATTTTATACAAGAAAAAAGTCACTATTTAATTGTGAACTATTATTCTCATATTTGTTGTTGCTGTTATCCTATTTCAGCTGTTGTGCCTTCTAGCCTTCATCAGGTGTATTTAGATCCAGTTAAACTAGAAGGAATTCTGAACTAAACCCTTTATTTAATCTATATGGGTAGTCTATTCTTATTCCACTGCTTGTGTCTAGGGATATCTAGACTAGTTCTAATTTTAAGTACAGCTCAGTTATTGCCTGTCCTCTTTCCACAGTTCAAGTACACAAGGTTCAGAGATTGAAGTCACTGTCACCAAATTTATGAGTTAATGCCTTAATCCACTAGGCTATTGTCATGTAAATCAGGATAATTCCTCATCCAAGAACATCTGAGCAGAAAAGAAAAAGATTTTCTGTTATTTTTCTAGTATAGTTAAAAAATGAGAACTTTTGCTAATAGTTTTAACTAAATTCATTAAGAAAATTGCTTTAGCATATATTTATAAAATATTATAAAAACTGCTATATTTACACTGGAGTTGGAAGAAAAACAACATTTTCAGCATATCATACTTTTATTTTTGTTTTCAAGGAAAATAAAAGTAAAAAAAAAAAAACTTGTGCATTTTATGCAAAACTATAAATATATAAGGAAAATGCTAGATTGCACATTTCTTTGGTGATGAGGCAAAAATGGTTAGAGCTTGGCCATGAGGTTCTCACTTTTCTGCCATATTCAACAGACATGGAACCTTTAGATTTGAGTCATAAAACAATTTGAATTCTTTTTGAAGACTATAAAAAAGGTCATTTTTTATTTAAATTCTAGGAGGATGGAATTATAAAGTTATCTAAAAGATGGCAGAAGATAATGGAATAAAAGTTAAAGATATTGGTCATATTTATAAACATATTTACTGTTTTGTTCATATAAAAAATATCTTAATTTAACTATAACTTTTTATACTATACAATAGTAAAATAATTTGGAAAAGTATATATTACTAATATCTCTAAAATATAGTTATAACAAGTTATTCTACAGTTTGTACTAATGGGGAGAAGTCATACAAATATATAAAAATTGTTTTACTTACGAAAAGTCTAGCAATCATGTCATGTGGCTTGGGTAAATTGGCTAAAATAAAAATAAATAATTATTACATAATTAGGAATGCAAAGTTTAATTCATGAAAACTAACAGCATTTAAACATTTACTCAAATTTATCTGTTAAGATAATCAAGCCTAATAGAATTTTTCTCTCTGGCTTGCTCAATTTCATGCTGACCTCAAAGAAAATGTAAAGCCATGATCAATATCAATGGTTGTCACAACTCTACATTGAATATCTGTGACAAAATGGTTAACCCAAGCAGTCTCACATTCAGTTTTCTGTCAAACATCATGGTATGTGAGCACTGAAACTTTTTGACACTTAGAACTGTCATTTTGTGGAAATGAGTCTTGAGAGGATGCTTCCCTGACCACTACAATCTTAACCTCTTCAGGCCTAGGTTCAACCATTATCTATCCTACATATCCTTATGATATGCATCTCTACTTCCTCCCTATATGTCCTTACAACAAACTTTCAGTAACCCTCTATCTTGAGCCACTTTTGGCCTAAAAATATTTATAAACAAAAAAATTTAAATAAATGCACAATGATGAGTAAATGTAATTACAAGTTTCGAAAAAAAATGCATTTCTTTCATTTACTCTTGCCATATAAATTCAGTAAAATAGTTTGCAAGCATTGGGATTTATATTTTTTTGAGAAATGACAAAAAAAGATGTTAAAAATTATTTATTAGACTATTTACAAGAATAAAGTTTAATACGTTTCTTGTCAATTGTTGAGAAAACAAAAAAATGCATAAATCCAGTTTCATATGTTTGGGCTTTAATAAAATTTTTAAAATTACTTTTTAAAACAATTAAAATTGCTGAGAGAGTAATAGCAGTATCAAAAGAAAAGCTATTCTTTTGGCACACTTTTTTGAAGGCATGTTTGTTAAACTTTGCCAATTATTATTTGAATTTCTTTTAACATGTATTTGTCTTAATTTCTGTAGATTTTTATTGCAATTTTCAGTTTGTTGTAAGCATTACTGATCAGAAATGGAAGATTAATCCTCTGGTAAGTTTCAAACTCAAAACCAGGGAATGACAGTCTGAGTGCTGTAATAAAAAACAACAAAAATAAGAAGAAAGAAATATTAGCTAAAAATTAAGCAAAGTTTCTGAATCATTGTGAAAAATTTATGATCTATTTTCATGTTAATTACTCACTGGACAGTTGCCTTTTAATTGATGGAAATGAAAGTGATATGAGAATGAAAATGCAAGTAAACAGAAGCTTTTCAGAAATTAAATCTACATACCATAATCTTCGAAATCAATTTCATAGTCATCGATGTGGCCTTCTTTCTTCTTGTTGGCTAAAAAGGCAAGACTTCTGCAAATACTTTTCATTGCTCTTGTATGTTGTTCAGACATTATGTACTCCATTAAGAATGGCCATAACACCTGAAAAGAATAAAAAAAACATTAAAGAAAAGAAAAAGAGAATGAGAGAGAAATAAAAGAGCAAAGAAACAGAGAAAGAGAAAGGAGAAGAAGAAAGTTGAAAGAGAAAAGAGAAAGGAAAAGGAAAAGAAAAGGAAAAAAAAAGGAAAAGTTTTTAGCTGCAAACAATACAGGAAATTGTAGGAACACTGTTATTATTATAAATAAAAAATAAAAATAAAAAATAAAAATAATAAAATTACTCCCAGCATGCAACAGAGACTGTCACTGCCAGAAATATGGACATCCCACCAAGAGACGTAAGATTCACTCTTTGCCCAAGGGCTGTCGGGATGGCAACACGTGCGTAACTTCCCTCAATGATAGTAGGACTTGTGATATTATGGAGTGATTTACTCCCTTTTATAACATGAACATTATCACAATTGGAATGTAAAACACACGCACACACACACACAATTGTATGAAATTACCATACAATTTACTATGTTTTTTTTATTGTTATTTTGTATGTTTGTTTGTACTGTTTTTCCTTGTTAACACAAGCCCAATTTTTATAAACACATGGTGTGAATGAATATACTTCCACAAAATAAAGAAAAATATGACAATTGCTTAAAATGCTAAAATTATTTAAAATAAAATAATATCCCCCCCACATATTCTAAAGATAGAAGTAAAGCTAAAAAAAGTAAACCTATACTTACAGGTTCCATACACTCTATGGTTGTGGTAATCAAGTGTAAAATATTCTCACACATACTTCGCAAACTGTTATTTGACGTATAATCTGGATCAAGACGACGCTTGTTCTGGAAAATAAAGCAAATTTGAAACTTCTAAATCATAAATTGTTTCTAAAAAGACAAACTATCTTTAGACACTTTTAGAATAAATACCAACAACCAGTATAAATAATTATATTGTATTTGGTACAGTGCTATAGTCTATTGCCATCATCAACCTTAGAATAATGGAGAAATGAAAATATCCTTTGTTTAAATTCATCTATTGAGGTTTTTTTTGCCAAAATCCCGAGTAAATTTGTATTGCTGCATGTGTATATGATATATAAACAATTTTCCTAAAAGTATAAAAAAAAAATTGCTCAAGCATGCTAACTATTCAATCAGTTTGAAAAGAATATGTTGGAAATTCATTTTTTTGTTGCATTTTTTTTTCTAGATACATTTTGGTTAGTAGGTTATGTAGTCTTCTATATGTGAAGATTTGTCCAGTACAGAGACTGTTGTTAGACATCATCATCATCCTGTTGACTTTTGCAATCCTGGGTGGGTATCCAAATGCAGAAGCCACACTAAATCTCCTCCACAACAGTCTATCAATGGCAGCCATCAACAATTCTGGTAGTCATACCTGTACATTGTTTGACATTGTCCAACAAGTTTTTACAATGACGTCCTCTCCTATATCCACCTTCAATGGTGCCTTGCGTGATGGTCTTGCACAGGCTGTCGTGCCTTGTAATCTGTCCAATCTACACCATTTTTCTCCATTTGACAGTGGTGAGAAAAGATTCCTGGTGGTTCACAAAATTTTCAAATCTTTTCCACACAAACTCATTGGTTTTATGTTCCTAATAGAAGATTCCAAGGAGTTTTCTCATGCATTTGTTCTCAAATGCTTGGATCTTTCTCTCTGTTTCTGTGAACTGTGTCCACATTTCACACCCATATAGGAGAATGGAGATTACAAGCAATTTATACAGTCATTACTTTGTTGGAAAACTGATTTTCTCCTCCATATTCTTGCCAATTTGGCCATCACTGTGGCAATCTGTATGTGGAATTCTGAGTTACAGGTACCATCTTTAAACAAGATTGCTCCGAAGTATTTAAAACTGAACACTACCTCAAGTGAATTCCCATTCATGGTAATGTTGACACTGGTATTACTGTTTGTGCTATTCACCATTACTTTGGATTTCTCGGAGCTGACCTCCATTCCATATGCTCTTGCTCTTTCAAAAAGTTTGTTGGTCAAGTCCTGGAGCTTACTGTTACTACTTGTTATGAGGTCAATGTCATCTGCAAAACCAATAGAGATCTAAGGATCATGGTCATTCAAGGTTTCTTGCAGGATTCTCTCTGAAAATAGGTTGAAAAATGTGGTGAAAGTACGCATCCCCGTCTCATACCGACAGTTGTCTGAAAGAATCTTCCCATTTGTTTTCCCAGAAGAACTGTGCTGGTGGCATCTTTATATAGAGCCTGAATGACTTAGATAATTCCGTTATCTACATTGAATTCCCTAAGGATTTGTCAAAGACCGTCATGCCATATTTCTGCTAAATATTTGGTCTATGATGTATAGTATAGTATCCTCATGCCTTGAAAATTTACAATTTTACTGCAACATTTTTCAAAGGTTTTTTCATTCCAGGTTTTAGTGCATTCAGGTTCACCATTATTTGTGAGATCATGGTATTTTTCTTCTCTCGTTTTTGTTAATTCCAAGATTTTCCATTGTAGATTGTCACAGATGCAGTGCACTATTTTTGTAATTATATGCCATTAACTTTGTTTCTTTTTTCTAATAGTTTTTTTTTCTTTTCTCTACTGGCTTCAGTATAGCATTATTTCAGGAATTACTGATAATATCCTATGTAGAAATTCATTTAGTTTCCATATTTTTTTAGTGTGGCTCCTTGTCAATTATAGTTACTTAATTCCTGGAGAACTCAATTATATCTCTTTTCTTTTCTTTTGATAGAGAGATATAGAGAGATGATAAAGAGAGATATAGATAGAGAGAGGTAGAGATAGGTAGGTAGAGAGAGAGATATAGGTAGAGAGAGGTAGAGATAGGGAGGTAGAGAGAGATAGAGATAGGTAGGTAGAGAGAGAGATAGAGATAGGTAGGTAGAGAGAGAGATAGAGATAGGTAGGTAGAGAGAGAGATAGAGATAGGTAGGTAGAGAGAGAGATAGAGATAGGTAGGTAGAGATAGATAGGTAGAGAGAGGTAGAGAGAGGTAGAGAGAGGTAGGTAGAGAGAGGTAGAGATAGGTAGAGATAGGTAGAGAGAGGTAGAGATAGATAGGTAGAGAGAGGTAGAGATAGATAGGTAGAGAGAGGTAGAGATAGATAGGTAGAGAGAGGTAGAGATAGATAGGTAGAGAGAGGTAGAGATAGATAGGTAGAGAGAGAGAGAGAGAACAAACAATATTTGATATAAGACCACCCACAAAATGCATTTTTATTATGCTCTTCCAGAATTCTATTCAGGACTAAGCTGGTTTTTACCATTTTATTATTTTCACAACTGCATATCATGTTGTATACCATTTTTTGGTAAACTTTTGTATTTTTCATTAAAAAGAAGCCAGACTATTGTGAGTGGACTGTAGAAAGTGATATCCCAATTTATAAAGCAGAGTGCACAATTATCAAACAGGATCTTTTCTGGCTTTAATTTGAAGGAGAATTACATATTACATTTATATAAAGTTTTTCATTTTCAAAAGGTATATTATAAAGTAAAAAAAATAAAAACATACAATTGTTAGACAAAATAGAAAAACAAAAACACATGTACAAAAATAGATTTATATCATATGCTTAAAACACACAACAAAAATAAGAAAACAAAGATCATACCAGGGCAAACTGATGACTTATATATATATATATATGTAGGGAAATTTTATGACAAAGTGGAAAAATTTTACTTGTGATGTGTTTCATCCTTCAGGACTTCAGACTAATTTTATTATGGTGGTAGGACTACACATTCACATGACAGAGGGGTGCTGGGAATTTTAGGATTTTTTTTCCAGCTGAATTCATTTAGAATCTTTCTATTTTGAAATGTCTAGGGAGTGCTTTAATCACAAGGCCATCTCCAGTAAATTTATACCCTGTCTCTTACAACGTTTCACCATTCTTGGCAGATCTTCTAATATCACAGTGTGGAATGACTATTTACAAAAGTGATGGAAAGTAAAAGAAAAAACTAAATGAAATCAGCTGAAAGAAAAAAAAAAGAAAAAAAAAAAAGGAAAATTCCCAGCACCCCTCTGCCATATGCATGTATAGTCCTACCAACATAACAAAATTAGCCTGATGAAGTCCTGAAGGGTGAAATGCGTAACAAGTAAACTTTTTCCACTTTGTCATAAAATTTATGCCTTATTGTTCTTGATATATAAAAATATATCAGTAAATGGTGTCCATACTGTAGAAGGAATTTCAATATGAATGTTATCTTAAGCAATATGGCCTGACCAAAAAGAGACACAGATGATGTGATCAAAGGATGTCTCTCTTATCTTTAACATAGGTACCTCCACGAGATCGCTAAAAAAAGAGCATAGCATGATGAAAAAGACGCCAAACTTGACGAAAACAAAATTTTATCGTCTAAATGTTTGTTATTATTAAGAGGAAAGGTCAAAGTATTTTTGGGGTATTTTTTTCCATTTTTTAATCGTTCTTAGCACGTCCGAAATTTTCGTTAAAAATCTAGTTTTTTTTGAGTCAGCAAAATTGACTATTTTTTTCCATTTTAAAAAAAACTGGAAATCTGACTTTGAAATTTTTTTAAATATCAATTATCATTTTTTCAAAACTTATTTTAAGAAAATCAGAAATTATAATGTTTATTTAAAATATTTTAAACCAAACTTAACTTAGCTTTTGTGCCAAAAAGATGTAATTTGAAAATAAAACAAAGCAGGTCATAAACTTTCGCGTCTCTTGACATGTGATGAATGATATATTTACGAATTCCAGGAGGCTAATTTGTTCTACGGAAGGAGAAAAGTGAAATAATTTACATTTACATGAACAAATTATTTACCCCGTTATTTTTAACAAAAAAACTTCAGCGGTCTAATTTTTTTTTTTTTTTTTTTTTTTTTTGTACTTAGCTTTCACCTTTACGTTTATGATGCTTTATGGGAAATATATTCTAAAGAAATTAAAATAAAACTGTTAAGAGTGACATTAAATTTCATATTTCTTAAAGGTATCTAATCAATTTATAGGTACCTTTCTTAGGAAATTTTATCAGAATTGTACATAAAATACTATAATTTTATGTACATTTATTACATTCTACTGTTATTTGTATTTGCATTCATTTTATTATTAATTTTGATATTTCATTTATGGAAAAATGTCGTAACTGAGATTAAATAAAAATAAGATCATATAAATTTCATAAGATGATACTGATACTTGTAGGTACCCTTCTCAGTTGAAATTGAAAAATCAAATTAACTTCACACGTGTTTCGCAAAAGTAAAGGCCTTAACAACGGAGAACAATGCTTAACTCAAATAACGCAACTTAATTATATTCTGGTTGGTCTTCCGTATTTTATAATTACAGCTCGATTATAAGCACAAAATTACATTTCTTAATTACTGGGGATCTTCTGAATAGTCAAAATGATACAATTTACAACGTTAAAAAAAGATCTATCTCATAAGGACACTTATGAAAGCCTGTGCGACTTTTTAACTAATTTTATAATATTTTAACAACTTAAATGTAAAATCTATTATAATTAATGAAATAACAAATAATTGTATTAAAAATTCATTTTCATCGAAAATTTTTTTTTGCTTTCAGAAAATATTGTCCATATTCATAAAAACAACTAAAAGCAAATAAAAGCATTTGAAATTAAATAATATCTTTGTTTTTATTGAGTTTTGTATGTTACAATTCAGAGCTGATTTTCAGGTACTGCGATCCAATTAAAAACAAAAAAAACATGATTTGCATTCCTCAAAGCTCTGTGCTTTTAATTATTGTAATCACTAAAACCGATGCGATCGAATTTCTAGCGTTTTCATAAAATTAGTTATGGGGGGGTAATAAATATTTTTTAAAAATATTTCTACCATGACTTTCATAAAAAAAACATATTTATAATTATTTCGATCATCTGTGAATAGTTCCTGAAAGTTTCATTAACATCCGATAATTATTTCTATTTTTGCACGATTTTTCAAATTAATGTGTGTCATACCAAAAAAACGTGCTAAAAATTGTCTATGTTATTTACTAGTTCCGCTGATACAAATAGAAACAAGGTTTTTTTTAATCAAAATTTAGAATGTTCTAAAAAGAAGGAAAATTTTTTAAAAATAATTAAAAAAAACTTTGGTATTTCCTCTTAATAATAAAATAAGCATTTAGACAATAAAATTTTTTTTTCGGCAAGGTTGGCGTCTTTTTCATCAAGCTATGCTCTTTTTTTAGCGATTTCATGGAGTACCTACTTTAACAACATAATGTAATTAAAGAAAGTTATGACCAAGTAACAAGAAACATGAAGCTAAATACTTTGAGCAAGGAATATATATATATATATATATATATATATATATATGTTTGTGTGTGTGTGTGTGTGTATACAGAGAGAGAGAGAAGGCTAAAAAATTATATGGTTGTTTTGAAGTTATTTACATAATATTGGTATAATTGCATGGGCTTTAGATAACTTGGCAACAAAGCAGAGGAGCTTATAATGCATATAAAAACACTTTTTTGGGATATTACATAGTCTGTGGTGAGATACCATTGTGTACTGTATGATCATCACATTCACAATGTATTAAATTTTGCTTGAAATTTAGGCAATTCACCTGTGAAAATTATTTAAATGATTAAGAAGGTTTCTGGAGATGAATAAAAAGTAAAACTAAAATTTATGTACCAAGATTTCAAACTTGGTAATTTGTTGAAAGCAATTCACATTCTGAAAGAGCTTCAATGCCTGAAAATCTTGAATACATGCAGGCTGCAAATCTGGGGTTCCCAGTCTGGATGTTTTGAGTCATATTAAATATCTTGACCATCTATTCTTCATGTCTCATGCAGAGTTTTTTAGCACAATGTCACATCAACCAAGTCTGAGATTTCTTATTTTCAGGCATTTGAAACCCAAACTTTGATCAAGTTCGCACCAGACCTACCTTCAAATGCTAAAATATATTTAATTCATTGAAAAAGTTTATCTGTTCTCAATTGATAGTATTTTACTTTTAGTCGGATTGATTTAACTAGAACAAAGATCATACCAAGGTTTCAATAAAAAAAAAAACAATTATATGATAGCTTGCAAAAGTCACTTTCCCATGGCAGAAACATTTTATGGTAAGCTATCATCATCATCCTTTGACCTCCCTGTGGTTGGTCAGAACTCCAATTTCAATAGCAATAAATGAAAAATTTATGACAGGAATGTGTAGATAAAAAAGTGCTCTCAATTGATCTGCTTGTTTCTATTTTACAGCATATCAGCCGCTATGCACCAGTTCATGCCAGAAGTGGTGAATTTTGTTGGATTGATTTTTGTTAGATTACTTGCTAATAGGACGTGTTCATTTGTTTTGTTTTTAAATAATATACTTAGATTTTGGAGAACTCCAGTTATTTTGAGGTGATCACTGATTGAATTTGAATAAAACTTCAGCTTGATTGAACAAAATTAACAAAAGTTTCAACTCACAGAATTTGCATCATCGTCAGGAAGACAACATTGGCTTATAATAAATTCAATCATCATTTGGCCTCCTTCATTTTCCAAATATTGGTGATGTGCCATTGCTATTATCACCTGTGCCAGCACCTTCTTCACCTAAAAGACAAAAATGTATTAGAACCAGAAGATGAATTTAATGAATAATTAAATAATTGTATAAGGAATTATGTTGAATTTAAAATGAAAGTTTTAGTTATACCATTCATCCTGTTGTAAAACTGAGTCTAATTAGATTTGTGGTGTAATTATTTAGAAAAGAAGTTATACCCAATGATAAATGAGCAGAACAAGTTTAGTTAACTAAGCTATAGTCAAAAAATGGACAAATGAGATTGCCTGAAATTAACCAGTATGTAAAACATGCTCTTTGCATGCATTTATTGTAAAATCATATGATAGCTTGCAAAAGTCACTTTCCCATGGCAGAAACATTTTATGGTAAGCTATCATCATCATCATCCTCCTCCTTTGACCTCCCTGTGGTTGGTCAGAACTCCATTAACAATCCCTTTCCACAATGCTCAGTCATGTATTAAAAGCAAAAATATCCTTTATCCATTAATGACCATTTTTAAAAAGATAACCAATGCTGATGAAATATTATATAGTATTAATATAATTTCAGATATAAGGCTGTAATTTATTTTAATTTTATTAATTATTAAATTTTACAGTGGGCATTAATGGGTTAATTTTTAAGAACTTAAAATATCCTTCTGTCTTGCATTTTGTAAGCATTAGCTTAAATAATAATAGTTTCCAGGAACAAAATACTGGTTTCATTCATTTTATTCAGTTAGCACATTTTTGCACTGCTCTGATCACCACTCACTGCCATTTTACAATTATGGTTCATGGTGACGTTCAAGGTAGAATAGTGCAATGTCTTACCAGTTTCTTTTGCACCAGGGATGTTGAGGTTACCCTGTCTCTCCTTTCAGAGGTGAATTTGTTTTTGAAGTTACCTTCTAGCCTTTGCTTAAAGAGGCAGGATCTATAAAGCAGGAGGTAGTTTGAATTCAGAGTTTTCCTTCTCCTAGACTGGTTGCCACTCAAGGGCCTAGCTTGCTATTCTACCTCTAGATAGCTGGGGAGAAGAGATGAATTCATAGCTTTTTGAAGGGTATTAGCATGTATGTGAATGTAATGAGCTTGACTGGAATTCAAACTCAGCCCTCAACCCAAGCCGCTATCCATTACTCCACTGTGCCTCCATAATACTGGTTTGGAGAAATACATTCCAAGATGTTTTAAATTTTGGCTTTAGTTTGTATTTGTTATTAATAAATAGCATTGAGTTTTCTAATTAGCCTGAATAATTATTGGGTTCATGAGTTGTAAGATAACATTGGGAGAGACGAGGAATATCAAGACTGAAATTGTTAAGTATACTAAAATCAAGTACAAATAAACATTATTATCAATAACAATGATAATACAGTACTTCTTTGATTATCTGGACACCTTAGGACAGCGGTTGAAAATATATGCTAAAAAAAACAATCATTTTCTGAAAGAAATTTAACATTGTCATCTACTGTCTTCTTGATTCCTCTTTTATCATTCTTGTTCCTTAAAATCTTTAGTACTCTGTAGGTAACTATTTTTGACAAGCAAAATGTTAGTCCTGCCAATGCAAGTTGAATTTTAATTTCTTGGTTGTGTAGTCATATCATTCTATGGCAACACTTAAATTGAGAGTCAGGCTACTATAATTCTGAATATATAGAACTAATATATAAAACATTATATTTTGGGGTGGATTCCACATACAGTAAAAGCGGAAGATTCATTTAAAAGATGATGTAAAGTGCTAATGTTAATAATATTTTTCTTTTCTTATTCATACAAACTCAGTAACACCTTGTGTCTTAGTGGTTGTACTGCCTTGCTTGGAGTGAAATGTTAAAAAAAATATCTTCAATTAGTATTTTCAAATGCTTTGTTCAAGCTTTTATCCAGTTTATTTTACATGAAAAAAAAAAAAAAAATGCATCATTATTCTTTCGTTTCCAGCTGGCATCACGTTTTTCTGTTGTTATCTCCCAAAACTGGATTAAAGTAGATGTATTTGTAAGGGTTGCTTCTGGTTGAAAGCGCAAGGAACTTAAACATTTGTCAAGTATAATCATTGCTTAGAAATTAATCATTGCAAAAAATTTAGCATTCATGCTGGGCAAACAAAAAGACATTTCTCATTGAAGCAAGCTTCATATGTGTCATGTGCATTTTAGAGTTGTGTAAACCATAATCTCTGGTGTGACCAAGCTGTGATAATTCAAATGTATTTTCTTTGTATGAGAGCAACAAAGAAATTAACAAGAATTAACTGAACTGACTTTATCAGCATTTTTTATCAAACATTGAGTGTGGTCTGTTTAAATTCTGAAAACTCTTGTCTGAGATGAAAAATTAGAAAGGGTTTAGTTCAGATAATTGAAAAATACTCATATGATTTCAATTTTCTCTTCATTTTACATCCAGATAATCAAAGTCTACAAAAGTGAGGTATGGATAATCAAGGAAGAACTGTAAAAGGAACATTGATTAAAAGAGAATTTATTACTTTATTGTTGCTTTCATTCAATAAAATCTTGAGTCCAGAAAGGAGAAGTTCCTGCATATTTTCCATGCTTGGACCTAATCAAAAATAACAAAAAGAGAACAAAGGTCAGCAAAACGATGTACACAATTGAAATTTGAAAGAACTGATTATTATCAAAAATGTAATGTTAATTTATTATCAGTTTCTTCTATGTGAAACCTTAATCACTTAACATTTACAATTGAAAGTGAATATTAAAAAATCATAATTCATTTTTAAGGAATAAATAAAAAAAAAAATACTCTCTGTAATTAACAGATTAAAAACATCCTGCTTCACACAAAAGTAAAATAAATGAACAAAAAATTAATGACTTAACCATAGAGCAAACTCTCAGTTCACACACACACACACACACACACGAGTTCAATCCTCACTAGGTACCCCATACTTTCAGCCTTGTGCAACATCTAAGCTGGGATTAGAAAAACATTTTCAGGCACTTCGATGTGATGTAATAGTTACCAAGCTTGCTTCTCTAGGTCTTTTACAACTAAATAGAGAGTTCAATCCTCACTTGGTGCTCCACACTTTCAGCCGGGTGCCACATCTAAGCTGCACTTAGAAAATCATTTGGGCACCTTGACATGGTGTAATGGTTGGAAAGATTGACTTTCTAGATCAATTATGAATGAGTAGTGAGTTCAATCCTCACTGGGAGCCGCATACTTTTGGCCTTGTTCCACATCTAAGCATCACTTAGAAAATATATATATATATATATATATATTAGTTTTAAGGTATGCTATATTTATGGATTAAAGTGCTCAATATCAGAGATAGAGTATATATAAATATAAAACTGGACACTGAGGTCAATATTGAGCAGCAACAGTCTGTTTCATGCTTGAAAACAATCTTCAAGTATTGACCTGAATGTCCACTATATATATATATATATATATATATAAAACTATGACAAAGTGAGCAAAATTTTGTGTGATGGGTTTTGTCTGTTAGGGCTTCATCAAGCTAAAGTGAAATTTATGTTGATGTGACTACACATGAACATGATGGAGAGGGAATGGTGAGAATTTAAAATTAATGTTTTTTTAAATATATATTTTGGGTATATAGTCTAACCAGTTTCATTTAGTTCATGTTTCCATCACTTTCATTATTAAATATCCCACAATGTGATAAGAAAGCTTTTTCCACTTTGTCAATTTTTCACTGAAATTGTTCTTGATATATAAAAATTTATAGATAGCTTTCCTATATAAGTTATATCTATGCAGCAAGTATTTCTCCAAACAAGTTTGAAAAAAAAAAAAAAAAAAACGGTTGATGGTTGATTTTTTATTGTATTTTTCCAATTTTTGAATAAGACGTTTTGTAGTGGGATCAGAATTGTGGATAAACTGTCCAAAGTTCATGTTCATATTGTTTGTTCAAGTACTTTTGATTGCCTTGGTAATTTTCAAGAACCATGTGTCAGCATGATAGGCAGAATTCTTTTGTCTACATCTTGGTATTATATGGTAAGCTGAAAATTTGAAATAGTCTACAGTGGTGTCATTCATATAACAACAACAGCACAAACATGAACTCTGGACAGTTTATCTACAATTTTGATCCCAATACACAAAAATCCCTTCTTCAAAAATTGGAAAAATACAGTAAGAAAAATTAAACAGACATTTTCAGTTCTTTTTAATCAAACTTGTTTGTTTGTATATTTGATAAAAAATATACTTTTATGGTGTGCTATATTTATAAGTAAAAGTAGTCAATATGAGGGATAGAGTGTATGTAAATATGAAAGTGAGCACTAAGATCAACACCAAGTGTGACTGACATCAATGTCCAATTGATTATATATCTCCAAACGTAAAAGAACAAAAAATAAAATTACAATGTTCAAAACATTAATTTAAAACAGGGCTCAATACAAGAGTAGAGCAATAAATATTTATTATACACTGTTACATTAGAAGTAATTACTACAAAATTGTACATTTCGTTTTGACGTTTAAATAAAATGTCTATTCAGGTAATTAACAATGATCATAATAAACGATCTTATTTTAAATAACATTGTTAATTACCTGAAGAGACATTTTATTTAAACGCTGAAACAAAATGTACAATTTTGTAGTAATTACATGTTCTAATGTAACAGTGTATTATATATATATATATATATATATATATATATATATATATATATATATATATATATAAAAAAAATGGGTGCATGACCAAGTGATTTTAATGTTAGTGTTCCAATCATGAGATCCAGACTCAATTCTCACCATGGGTCAATTTATCAATGAGGTCACTTCTTGATTATATTGATCTGGAGAGAAGATCTCAGCCGATAGCATTGTTGGAAAGTGCCTGACAACCATACCATAGGTTGACCAAAGCCTTGTGAGTGAAACTGAGTAGACAAAATTGTTCAGAAGCTGTTTGTGCATGCACAAAATTGTATGTCACAAGTCACTGTGACCAAAGGCTTTAGTTAGCCCTGTTCAGACTGTTGAGACCACTCTTTCCCAGAAACTGTAACTAAAGTACACTCAGTATAGTTGTCGTATAAACCAAGGGTTGGCTCTGTGAGTGTTGAAGAAACAATTATATCCAAGTAGGCTTCTGAAACAGGCTATCCACCCTAGCAGACAGATATAACTGAAAAGGAGAAACCATCCATTATATATTTTACAGCCAAGACCTGCCATGTCATATATATATATATATATATATATATATATATATATAAATGGAATCCTCCCCATACCTTTCATATTGCATTAGTAAGAAGGAAGTTCCTTTCAGACAGCTTCTTCCCAAGAATTGTTAATCCCGAAAGGATGCTTCCTCAATCACTACAGTTTTAACCTCTTCAAATCTCAGGTCAGTATCATTCAGTAATTTTCTACCATGAATGGTTGTTTGGCCTTGTATTGGGTAAACGATTATAATATATATGAAGGACCCCTGTCATATTCGACGTATGAGGGTCGACCAGCTCAGTTTCTAGGAACCAACAGCCAGACACCAGAACATATGATTTGATTATAGTGATGAAGGCTTTGTACAGAATCAACCACACTTTTTAAAGGGCTGAATACATAGACCTGGTGCACTACATGCCACAATGTCTCCAAATCAGTCCTCCGCAGGTTTGGAATTCAGAGTTGTCCCTCTCCTAAACCAGTTGCCATCTAAGGCTATAGAACCCAGTTTGTCCTGCTATTTACCCATAGCTGGAGGGAGAAGAAGAGGATTAATACCTTTCCCAAGGGTATTAGCACATAGGTGAATGTAATGGATTTGAACACGGCTCTCAGATTCCTCAATCCAAGCCGCTATCCACTACTCCACCATGCCTCCTCAAAATATTATATATATATATATATATATATATATATATATATATATATATATATATATAAATCTGAGTACAGCACATGGACGCCTAATGAAATATTTGTGTTGGAAGTTTAATTTTATTTTGAAACAATAGTTAGGTTGTAATAATTTCATGTTTTTTTTATATAAATAAATTATTCAGTTATAATACCAATTGCAATCATCACAGACCAGTAATTTTATTTTGTCTTATTACACAATTGTTGAAATACAATTGTGGCACAAGTCATATTTCTAGTTGAGCCCTCAATATTTGAGGAGATAGAATGAGATACTAAACAAGGAATGAGTTTTTCTTCATCAGCAAATTAAGGAACCCATTTTGTCTGACCACATGAACGGATAGCAGAAGAAATTTAAATCTGGCTCTTGCTTTCTGACTTTCTATAACTAACTTGTTACTTTTACATTTTCATTGTTAAAAACCATATAATCATATGAATACATAAATTACATAACCTTATGTGCTTTGCTCTTATTTCAATATGTGTAAAACTGATGTGTTATATTGATATATAACATTATGATCTCAGGTTAAATCATCCTGTTGAAGATATGACATATAAGATAAAATACATTAAGGTGCTACCTTGCTACAAATCAAAAACTAATAGTTGCTAAATTTTTAATATCTTGTTAATTATCTTCCTATCTCACCATCAACATCCTCTCATTTCTAGTGACAATGAAAAGATTGACATGGATATTATGCATGTGTGTATTTTCTTTGTAAATTGTGTTTGCGAAAGTATAGATTTTTATGCATATAACATATGTTTAAGGGGCTTGAACAAAAAATTTAAAAAAAAATATTAAAACTTAAAAAAAATAAGCAGGGAGTTTTTTTGTTATTTGAATAGCTGTCATTTAAAGCATATAATAAAAATGGCTTCTAGTTTTCTTCAAATCCATGTGCATAGCCCTCAAAACCTTTTCTAACATTGAATGATTTTCATAACTAGCCTTAGTTTGGTATTTCCTTTTTTTTTCCCCCCCCAGTCATTTTGCTAGTCCATTCCTTGGCCTTATTTAGGTGATTATTTGGTACATACTCTTCTTGTTAGTTTTGCTTTGTTTATAATGTAAACTGTGGGCTATTTATCCCATAGACTATGAGCTATAGTTACTTTGTTTTAGAGAGCCATTCCAAGGAACATTGATTTCACACAGATCTTAACTCAGGTGATACAATCATTCACCCAAAAGTGCTTTTGGAAGATTTTACTGTATTTTATAGAAGGTGTTTTTTTTTGGGGGGGGGTAAAAATTTATAGAATATTTTTCACAATTTTTCAAAAAAGTTTTTATTGATTTGCTAGAGGAAAGTTTATGCTGATACTGAACCAATGAGCAGTTTTGTATGAAAATGAAGAAATTTAGTTTTTAAATAAAAGTAATTATTTTAATAATTTCAAGGAAAAATTGTGGCAATGAACTTTACCTACCTTACACAATAGTTTAAAATTTAGAACTTGTGGCCTTCAATCCAATGATCTTTCACTGAGCTTATTTCCTTGGAAGTAATCAGTTTGTCACTTTCAAAATGTTTGTTATAAATAGCAGCAAAAACCAACAAGCTAAGAAATTATTTTCATTTTTAAAAGCAATAAAAAGAAAAATTAAAGCCAAGCCTCTTTGATATTTTAACCCTTTGCCTGTC